TGAAAAAGGGAGTCACTGAACGGTGCTGTCCGAGACCCCTCTAATTATAATACACATGAGTGAAAGGACAGATACAGTTATTAACGAATCAAAACGATGTGTTGAAATATGTGATAAGATAAGGTCAGGCTCGTCTCATTTACAAAAGACATGTTTGGGCGCTAAAAGAGAGAGAGTGCGGAGAGTACTAGCTCAACATTTCAGAAGCCAATCCACTTTACTAAGTTCCCCGTAGGATACGAGCCTGCTCTGTCTTGTGTTGGACTTGTACTTTGAGATATGGACTGAGAGACAGTAAACCGATGTGAGTATAGAACTTGGTGTTGCGTTTATCCTTGAATGTATGTATGCCAGTACATGAATGTGATGTAGTTAGTTAGGAGTCAGGTCGCCCGACCCCTCACTCCTTGACTGAGCATTCCCCATGGACCATGCGAGTGCAGAGCTGGAGCTTACATCTCCCCTGACAATGTGGAACGACCATAAGCAATAGGTAACTGCGGTAGGGTTTACTAACACCCAAACGCCAGTTACGACAATACTAGTATATATATATACACATAACATATAGTGAGTGTTTCTAGTGAGTCTAATTTTTTTATGAGAAGTATATTTCCATCAGTTAAAATGACATTACTACTTTCCGACATGGACTGAGACAAAACAAAGAGAAAGCCTTAAACTGGTTGTAAACAATCTTTATTCACATGTCCTATACATTTAGGTAAACAATTTCCAAACTGTTCGATGTTTTAATAAACCAGCTATGATTTAGTTTGACATATATAAACATTTATGAAATACAATGGAATTATGTGATATTTGTTACCTACAAGTACATATTTTTTTATCTTCCACCGAAAATTTAGTTTTTGATGCATTTTCAAATTTGTTGTACTTACTGAAAGTTCCACCCGTTGTCTCTCAGATGAATAAGATAGATATGTAATAATGATTCGTTTGTGAAAAGAACACTAAGTGGTGCTATCTCACTTACATCAAACAAAGGTACCAAAATGGTTCTATTTTCGTAAAGCTTGAGGTTATAAAACATGAAAGAAACCATGATATGGCTTCAGAGTTTCTATAGTCATTAACATATTGAGCATGCAGAACAACAATGAATTTGGATGTTAGGCAACATACAATCCATCTCATCACAGGATATGCAAGGTATGATGTTGGTGTTTGTAGGTAATTCAGAAAATGAGCCTTCAACTTCACTGATCCAGCAACTTGTCACTTTTAGAAATTAGTGCTGGCAAATGATTTTCATAAGAGGCAAATATGTTGACTTTACATTGGTAAAAAAATTACACGGTGCAAGCAATTCTATTTTGGACCCCTTGTACCTAGCTGTGTACACTTATCGTTGGAATCGACCATATGTTGACAACATCTCAGAGAGGTATGGAGGAGCCGTGTCTGCAGCGGAAAACAAGAGTGAGGATCTTGAACTGAATTCTGGCTTCAACCGGCAGCCAATGCAAACTCTGGAGGATTGGGGTTATGTGAGACCATTTGGATGTTTTAGTGACACCTTTGGCGGCGGCAGTTTGAAGTATACTATCCCAAAAAAGAAACGCATAGGCCAAACATCTATAACTCATCCACAAATAGACTTTAGTGCATGAATTTTTACACCAGTTTAAAAGAAGGTAATGTCTATACAACCAAGTGGATATTTTTAGATAACGGAGACGTTGAGCGCGATGGTGACGGCGTAGCACGGTCCCGACGTCGGTACTCCTGGCTGTCAGACCAATCGCTTTCAACCTGTTCCGTACAGTTTGACCGGATATCTACCGAAGTCCAGGCACCCTGGCTGCTGTGCTCTCACCCATGGCAGTACGATCACGCAAATGTAGTACCGGATGTACCGATCTTGGGCTGCAGTGGTGACTCGAGGTCTGCCTGTACGGGGACGGTCATTTGTTATACCTGTTTGGTTGTAACGAGCTGCAAGCAGTGATATCGTGCTCAGACTAACATTCAGACGCCTTGCAACAGAAGATGGGTAATCTCCAGCGTGCAATCTTTCAATGGCGATGTTCCTTGCCACAGAGTCAAGACGTGGCGTAGTGATTTGACCTTGAAACGCCTTCAAAACGAATGCCAATTTCCAAAAGTAATCTGGATTTTTAATGCCAGACAGTGCATGCTCTTTGCTGAACAATTTCAACTGGAAGGTGATATCTGTTGCGTTGTGGCGATGCCTTTTTGATCCTTGTAAAACATCTCATCAAACTCAACATTTTCGGGTAAAACCGAGGTTATTAAGGTGAGGTTTTTACCTGTGCAATTGTGTAATATCATGTTATGAACACTTCTGTTACATATTTTGACGATTGTTTGAACACAATAGGTAATTAATAGATTTTTTTAAACACAAATCGCCTATGCGTTTCTTTTTGGATAGTATGTTTGAAGTCTGAAGAGAAGATCATTAGAGATTTCAGACAGTAGGCTATTGCAATAGTCAATACTGGAGAGAACAAGTGACTGAGTGATAATTTTAGCTGCATCTGTGGTTACCAGATGGCGGATGTTACCAACAGAGTGGAGGCAGAAGTAACCTACTCTTCAGAGAATGTTCACATGTTGCTCCATGGTGAGACGAGGGTTAAGATAAACACCAAGGTTCTCAACACTGGATGAAAGAGGGATATCTGAGGAGGCTACTATGATGTCCGTAGATATCCTTTTCAGACGTTCAGATGTGCAAATCAACATAGCCTCAGTCTTGTCTTCATTGAGCTTCAGCTCATTTGTCATCATCCATGACTTAAATGCCTTTGTGCACTGACTCACTCTTGGTCTGGTTATTTGTACATCCTCTGGTTTGAAGGAGTCCATCAAATGGAGGTCGTTTGCAAATGCAAGATGATTCACATCAAAGTCTTCAATGACCTTCTCCAAGGAGTTTGTGTATAACACAAAAAGAAGTGGCCCAAGGACTGAGCCCTGGGGTACACCACACTCCAGGATCGTTGATTCAGAGACAAGAACTGACTGACTCCTAGTGCTCAGATAGGAATGGAACCAGGCCAGTGCATCCCCTAGTATGTTATAATCGTCATGAAGACGTCTGAAGAGCTAGAGTAGTATGACTGACTCTCTTTGAAATCCTGGAAAAAGAGCATGGTTCAATGTACCTCTAAAGTTGTAAAGTATTCCACGTAAGGCTGGAGCTGTTGGAATATTGCTCCACATGAAGGGAAGTTGAAATCATCCCAACAGCCGTGTGGAGAGTTTGTTGTCACATGCATAGATCTAAACATGATCTGACACATGGGGCGGGTTCCCTTGTCTCCTTGATTTCAACTTCAGGTGGGTAAGCCAGAAGTTACATAAAACAGATCCAGAACTAATGTTGCTTTGACAGACCCGAAACTAATATTGAATAGACAGACCCGGATCTAATATTGATAAAACAGACTCGGAAATGAGGTTGGTTAGACAGACCCGGAACTGATGTTGATTAGACAGACCCGGAACTACCGTTGATTAGAAAGACCCGGATATAACAGACCCGTAACTAATGTTGATTAGACAGACCCGGATAAACCGGACCAGTAACTAATGTTGATTAGACAGACCCGTAACTAACGTTGATTAGACAGACCCGGATAAAACAGGCCCGTAACTAATGTTCATTAGACAGACCTGGAACTAATGTTGATTAGACAGACCCGGATAAAACAGACCCGTAACTAATGTTCATTATACAGACCTGGAACTACTGTTCATTAGACATACCCAGAACTACTGTTCATTAGACAGACCTCAGTAAAACAGACCAGTAACTAATGTTGATTAGACAGACCCGTAAGTAATGTTGATTAGAGAGACCCGGATAAGACAGGCCCGTAACTAATTTTCATTAGACAGACCTGGAACTACTGTTCATTGGAAAGACCCGGATAAAACTGACCCGTAACTAATGTTGATTAGACAGACCCGGATAAACCGGACCAGTAACTAATGTTGATTAGACAGACCCGTAACTAACGTTGATTAGACAGACCCGGATAAAACAGGCCCGTAACTAATGTTCATTAGACAGACCTGGAACTAATGTTGATTAGACAGACCCGGATAAAACAGACCCGTAACTAATGTTGATTAGACAGACCTGGAACTAATGTTGATTAGACAGACCCGTAACTAATGTCGATTAGACAGACCCGGATAAAACAGGCCCGTAACTAATGTTCATTAGACATACCCAGAACTACTGTTCACTAGACAGACCCGGATACAACAGAAATGGAACTGATGCTGCTTAGACTGACCGTTGGAATCAGTTAAACAGACCCGTAACTAATGTTGATTAGACAGACCTGGAACTAATGTTGATTAGACAGACCCGGTAACTAATGTCGATTAGACAGACCCGGATAAAACAGGCCCGTAACTAATGTTCATTAGACAGACCCGGAACTACTGTTCATTAGACATACCCAGAACTACTGTTCTCTAGACAGACCCGGATACAACAGAAATGGAACTGATGCTGCTTAGACTGACCTCAGTTAAACAGACCCGTAACTAATGTTGATTAGACAGACCTGGAACTAATGTTGATTAGACAGACCTGGAACTAATGTTGAGTAGACAGACCCAGATTATATAGAACCGGAACTAATGTTGATTACACAGACCCGGATAAAACAGACCCTGAACTGATGTTGATTACTCAAGAAAGTATGGCTAACAGTAAAATTGCTAACAGTAGGACCCTTCAACAGTTATCCAAGCCGATCAATGTCGTCATGATCAATGCAAGTCTCGATTCTAAAACTCGCTCGGTCGGTGAGTCAAAGGTCGGACTACTATCCCCGCCCCTTTTCCATTCACGTGCACACCCACGCCCGTATACACACGTGCACAGACACACGTACGTACGTCTACACTTAGTCTCACTTCACTTCTCAGACTATAATTAATTGCAGCAAAAAACGAGGTGGGCTCGTCACAAAGTGAGTAACGGGTGTTGTCCGACTCTATAGTCAACACAATACAGGTACTTGCTTTGCCACATGTCTCGATACATCAATTGGATTCTTTTAAACACATTCAGACTGTGAACTTATATTGTTGTAAACACAAAACTAGTCGAGTCTACGAGACTATTTCACCACCTTTTTATTGATGTCTTGTCATGTCTATATATCGGTTCCGTTTCTTTACAATAACATAGCGACATACCGTCGGCCTTGCTTGTCATATGTGGTTCTGTTTGAAGAAGACATAGGAATCGTTCATAATATCTGGAATAGAGGTGAGGTGAAATTGGGTTTTACGTCGTACTTGAGAATATTCACTCATATGACGACGTGCATGCGTGTGTATGTGTATGTGCGGCTGCTTGTACTAACCCAGACTTAAGCTGGTTTTATAGTGCTAGCCCACTGAGATACCATGCCGCAGTGAAGCATGAATACCCCACTCAGACACATTATACTGACTCCGAGCCGACCAGTCCTTGTTGTACCCATTAATGTCGAGCGCCAGGCAGGGACCAATCTGGAATAGACACAGTGAGGCACAGTATTTTACATCCAAACTTTCAGGTCACATTGTTCATTTACCAATTAGGGACCGTTAATAATTTATGGCTTGGGGGCGATGATTATTTTTTTATGGAGGAGCATGTACAGTGTGAATAACTCCCCTAAAATGTATGTACAAAGTAAGTGACCCCCCAGCCCCACCCCCAATGTCATGAACAAAATTGCTGACCTCCTCCTAGTACATATTACCTCCCCTGAACAAAATGGGTTTTTCCTACTGAAATGAACAATGCACTAAATGACATACCATTATACACCGGGTTAGATAAAACTTTATAATTTACCGTCACATGTAATAATCCTCGTATCTTTGCTTATAACCTCGGGACCCCATGGGGACCTGCTACACACGTGTATCAGTTCATCCATATAAGGTATTGCTATTGAATTCTCTTTCTAAGAAAAGCGTCATTTTCTTGGAAGTTGCCGCACCCTGTCCGCGACCACGTCCCTCATATTGATTGCTCGGAGAGCGGCGGAAAGGAAGCTTGAGAAAGGCGTCCGTCTTGCGTTAGAGATCAATTTACGACCTTACGACATCATGCGCCACAGCAGCGTCATCGTTTTCATTGCAGGTAACATTTCTTGTACATCGATACATTTCCTATACAAAAATTTCGATACCTTTTTATTGATTTCACCACCTTTTATTGATTTCTTGTCATGTTTATATCTCAAAGTTTGTGCGATACGATCACCTGAGCGCAAAGAAGGCTTTTATTCAGTAATCAGAGATATACCCGACGTCCAATGCGCTATCAGCCAGAAAAACATGCATACATATATACCGGGTTCCCGAATATTGGCACGCCCGGGAAACCCTGATATACACCAGGTAAACGACAACTGCTTCAATGACACAGAGGACCCTACATCTGATATATACCTGTACACGACAACTGGCACACTATCAGACAGAGGACCCTACATCCCCTGATATATACCTGGTACAAGACAACTGGTACACTATCAGACAGAGGACCCTACATCCCCTGATATATACCTGGTACATGACAACTGGTACACCATCAGACAGAGGACCCTACATCCCCTGATATAGACCTGGTACATGACAACTGGTACACTATCAGACAGAGGAACCTACATCCCCTGATATATACCTGGTACATGACAACTGGTACACTATCAGACAGAGGACCCTACATCCCCTGATATATACCTGGTACATGACAACTGGTACACTATCAGACAGAGGAACCTACATCCCCTGATATAGACCTGGTACATGACAACTGGTACACTATCAGACAGAGGACCCTACATCCCCTGATATATACCTGGTACAAGACAACTGGTACACTATCAGACAGAGGACACTACATCCCCTGATATATACCTGGTACATGACAACTGGTACACCATCAGACAGAGGACCCTACATCCCCTGATATAGACCTGGTACATGACAACTGGTACACTATCAGACAGAGGACCCTACATCCCCTGATATATACCTGGTACATGACAACTGGTACACTATCAGACAGAGGTCCCTACATCCCCTCATATATACCTGGTACACGACAACTTGTACACTATCAGACAGAGGACCCTACATCCCCTCATAAGTACCTGGTACATGACAACTGGTACACTATCAGACAGAGGACCCTACATCCCCTGATATATACCTGGTACATGACAACTGGTACACTATCAGACAGAGGACCCTACATCCCCTGATATATACCTGGTACATGACAACTGGTACACTATCAGACAGAGGACCCTACATCCCCTGATATATACCTGGTACATGACAACTGGTACACTATCAGACAGAGGACCCTACATCCCCTCATATATACCTGGTACATGACAACTGGTACACTATCAGACAGAGGACCCTACATCCCCTGATATATACCTGCTACACGACAACTGGTACACTATCAGACAGAGGACCCTACATCCCCTGATATATACCTGGTACATGACAACTGGTACACTATCAGACAGAGGACCCTACATCCCCTGATATATACCTGGTACATGACAACTGGTACACTATCAGACAGAGGACCCTACATCCCCTGATATATACCTGGTACATGACAACTGGTACACAATCTGACATATTCATATTTTTTTTGTTCTTTGTAATTCCTGCATTTTATATTGACTGTATTGGTAACGAGTTCTTGTTTTCATTTCTAAATGAATGGAATCAATAAAGTCACGCCGACCAGAACGGACTAATATCATGACTGGAGAATGTCGGAAGTTTCTGTTGTAATGAACTTAGGCGCAGTGACAGCAACCATTTCAGACTTTCTGCTTCAAGGCTTATCTTATAACTTGCATGATATTCATATCTAGTACTACATGCTAATATTTTGTCCATTCTTGGGTGCACATATCTTTTAATCTGGTTTGATAAATGCTAAGAAAACTAAGTAATTTATTATACATCCAACGTTTTGTAGACCAAAACCTGGACTAACTAAAATATGTCTAATATACTTGCCCCATTCTGTCTATATACGGCATCAAGATTAAATAACATTTCGTAACACTTACGCGGGAGTCTATTAGGTGGCATGTGAAGTAGTTTTAGCCAATATTTAATGCACCTCACCAAACTGTCTATAAACAATGGGTATCGTCCGCATTCCCCAAGAGCCATCACAACAGGAGTGTTACTGCCTGTACCATGATAGTGTTTACATGCGAGAAACTGGAGCCTTTTACCACCTCTATTTTTGATGTTCCCCATATTTCGCATCCGTAAAGAAGGATGGGTTTAACTTTTGAATGAGATATTCTAAAAAATGTTCCGAGAAGGACTTTTTATATGTCCATATGCTTGTACTGAACCTGCATGTAATCGTTCAAGCTTAGCTTCCTTCAATACATATTAAACGCAGTATGTCTGAATGTGAGGAATCGAACCCGGGCTTTTTGCGTGACGAATGAGCGTAGCCTAGTAGTTAAAGCGTTTGTTCGCTTTAACATTGGCACAGTGTGTGAAGCCAGTTTCTGGTGTCCCGTGATATTGCTAGAATATTGCTTCGGGTGGCGTAAACCTAAACTTACTCACTCACTCTAAAAGCACGTTTTGGAATTTGTTTTATTTCATGAGTTGCAAGACTTGTAAGATGTTGTCAATGGATAGAAGATTTCTTTATTTGTCATGTGTGTCAGATCTATCGTAGCAAAACAACAAAGAAAAACACGTGAGGAAACTTCACCATGCCAGAACATCCAATAGGTCAGGTGAAACAACTTTCTGCATGTTCAGTTGTACGTTAGCTGCATGTGGTGGCCATGTTCGTACACACGGTAATACACTGATGCACTGTTAAAATAACAGTAGAAGACCTGTAGATTTCAGCAAATTCCCCTGGCTTTGGAACAATACAAGTTCACCGGATGTGAGGTGAAGTAAGGTGACAGTGGGTTAACGTCGCACTTAAGAATATTTCGCTCATATGACGACGTACATGCGTGTGTATGTGTGGCTGCTTGTATTAGCCCAGACATAAGCTGGTTTTATAGTGCTAGCTCACTGAGATACTATGCCGTAGTTAAGCATGACTACCCCACTCAGACACATTATACTGACTCCAATCCGACCAGTCCTTGTAGGTAGTCCTTTTGGTATGACGCGGCCGGGGATCGAACCCGCTACCTTCCGCTCTCCGTGCAGACTTTCTAACCACTACACCACGGAGGCGGTCTCACCGGTTGTTAATGTTGGCTAGACAAACTACCGCTTTGATATGTACACATCAGAAGCTATACCATCTGGAACTTACCATAGATGCTGATACCAGACTGTTAGCATCATGTACGCATCATATAGATTGTCAAGGTCACCACAGATGTTGGATATGTACACATCAGAAGCTATACTATCTGGAACTTACAATAGATGCTGATACCAGACTGTTAGCATCATGTACGCATCATATAGATTGTCAAGGTCACCATAGATGTTGGATATGTACACATCAGAAGCTATACAATCTGGAACTTACAATACATGCTGATACCAGACTGTTAGCATCATGTACGCATCATATAGATTGTCAAGGTCACCACAGATGTTGGATATGTACACATCAGAAGCTATACAATCTGGAACTTACAAGACATGCTGATATCAGACTGTTAGCATCATGTACGCATCATATAGATTGTCAAGGTCACCCTAGATGTTGGATATGTACACATCAGAAGCTATACTATCTGGAACTTACAATAGATGCTGATATCAGACTGTTAGCATCGTGTACGCATCATATAGATTGTCAAGGTCACCATGTGCTTTCTCAACCTTCTACATTCATTTGGTGCAAAGCTGTGGCATGAGAGACGATAACGATGCTCATTACACACGCTGACCTATTTTCATTAAAACGTCACCTTTTTTTCTTTATCAGCTTCTGGGGCGGTGGGGTAGTCTAGTGGTTAAAGCGTTCACTCATCACTCCGAAGACCCGGGTTCTATTTCCCGCTTTAGGACAATCATTCTCTTCCCACAGAGGTTACTTGTCATATCTTCCTACGAACATCTGTTCTAATACGGCCATATTTCCCGGTTCTCGTAAAATCCCCTAGCGGCAAAAGATCGCAACACGAATTATCTCCCTTCTTTCTATTCAATCAGAACACGTGTTACATCGACTTAGATTCAACTTCACTAAAACAAGCAAATGTGGGGACACAAATATGCCCCATCTGCCGGGGACTTGTGTTGATGTTACACACAAGACGTTTAATGGCTAGCTTGTCCGTTGTCAACGAGGGCGATGGAGACGCCACTGATCCGCCATAACATGACTGAGTTCCGTCTAGAAGAAACGTTTGCGCATCGCGCAGAGGAAGAAGTTTAGTTTTCTCGAATGATCACTTTTGAAACAACGTCGCTGATTGCAGAACTAAATCTGATTGCCTCCAATCACGAGTCTTGAACGCTCCCACCATGAAAGGGCCGTATTAGAACAGAGGTTACGTAGGAAGATATGACAGGAGTAACCTCTGTGGGAAGAGAATGGGGGACAATGTGTGAAGCCCATTTCTGGTTTCCCCCGCCCTGATAATTGCTGGAATATTGCTAAAAGCGGCGAAAAACCAAACTCACTCTACCAGCTTCTAGCAGTTTTTCAGCAGCTTCTGGTTCGTCCTGACTTCCACATGCGAGTACATTTGTCAATAAGATACAACAACACTCCTATTTTTAGACATAATGTCCTTCTTAAGCTGGTGGTAGTGCATTTGGGACGTAAAACCTAGCTTTTACTTTTTATAAGAAAGGTGCAATGGACGTTCCAATTGAAAATACATGTACATAATCAGTTCACGGAGACTCCTCTCCTTCCGTCTGGAGTCTTGTTGTATTCAGTTATTATCAGTGAACAACTGATAGCAGCGTGGACGTAGCCATACTGTTTCGAGCGATATTTTTAATATGCCTGTTATAAATTATTTACTTCTCTAAGCCATTTTGGATCTATCCACATGTCACTTTTGCCTTTTGCCATCGTGATTAATACAACAAAACCTGTTTTCAAAAATCTCATATCTAATAAATGAACTGGTTAATTTGGTAGAACATTGTGTTTTTCATCATAACATACATCAGTGATAATTATTAGACAAAGTGCCACCCTTCACGAAGTATGTTGAAGCATGTCGGCAATGCCGGTGCCTCGAAATTGTCCGGGATCCGTAGCGACAAGTATGGAGGGGTTCCCCAGGTGTAGCGCCCAGTGCTGGATAAATAGGAGAACTGTCCTCATCTCCAGAATGTTGATGTGGAATGGAGAACCTGATGACATCTTGTCTTTGAGATGATCCTGCGATTGATGTGTCTTGTAATAGGTGACGATCTGGCTTAGGCATCCTGGTCGGAGTCCCGTCTATGGTCTATGACATTGTCGGGAATATTCCACCATGCGATGTCTTTGAACATTAGATCCGTAGGCACTTTGACAGAATCTAGCAATGTCTCTCGATGTTGGTTGATTCAATATTGAGTGTATAATGCATCTCTGGATGTAAGATCCTGAATGAATTTGAGAGCTCCTATTAGCGACATCCATTGACGTAGAGTGTGAGGAGATCCCTCAAACTCCGTTATCCTGGTCCTTACATAAGTACAACGATGTACAAGGCCTTGAACCATTTCTTTAGGTTGAAGCACTGACTTGTCCAGATGTACGAGAAACCCCATATTCCTGGCTGGCAGTTACTGAGAGTCTTCTAAGCTGGCATCCAGGTCAGCGTTTACAGACAGAAAATTAAAAGGTTTCGATCCTTGAGTGAGGATAATCCCTCATTCAAATCCTTGATGATCTTATATTAGAACGGTGATAAAACACCTAGAGCAGCCAACTTGTTAGTTACTAAAGATGTAGTGGTCTGATGATTTCATTCTCAAGTCCATATCAGTGAAACGTCTGTAAAATGTTCCGTTTAACTGTTAGAAGAACAGGTGTTAATAGCCGCATCTTTCAATGTAGGGCTAACGGTAGACTTGCACAAGTCTCTAAGGTAATAATTAATAGTTTAAATGATAATTTCTAAAAAATATAAATATCCCTCTAACACGCTGGCGTCCATATGCATCTAGACTTGACTCTTTAAAGGATAGAATTACTTACTATACATTCATGGGCTTAGCCTTTAGTGCAGCCTTGGAGCAAGGCTAGGCTAACGGTATCTGGGCCTGTGCGGCCGGCGCGGCTTCTCTCCTCCTGATCTTTGGCTGTGTCCTGCTATGAAAACTGTCTGAGCAGTCCGTGTGGTCTGTACTTGAACAGCTCCCCGAGCTTGTACTGGTGGCGTCGATCCTTTCATTTTTGCGATGATGTCCCGCAACAAGGTGAGCTGGACGCGGACTGTGAGGTCAGTGTGGTCTGTGACTCTCCGTCATTGTTCCGTCCACAACATCAAAGCCCACGACTTATAGGTATACCTCAGCTGAGGTGACAGCAGTAGACGGCGTGGACCTCTCTTTGATGTGGAGGAGGATGGTCCTGTTCGCTGGTTCTGCTGCTGGTAAGGCCCCCTTTGTTGCAAACTTCCGTTTAACAGCCAGGGAAGTTGACTGACGGGGCGTGTCTGGATCAGACAGGACGAGAGGTCGCCTAGCTCCGACTGATTGTCTGATATCACCCTGCACTTAAGCTGGGTCCTAGCATCTTCTCTTTATTTTGTTGTTGATGGAATTCAAAGACATACTTCTAAAGGCCACCAGCAACTTCTCACAGGTCCGGTTAAGCAAACCTTAGTGCCCAAAGGGGAGGACGATGTGTATGTAGATCCCTTCGACTTACTCTTGATTGTGCTCGATAGGCCAATCATACCATGACTATGTTTACATTAAGTTTTAATCGACTGCATATGGTGGTAGACAAAGCAGGCGGGTGGGGTACACCGAAGTGTCCGGCCTTGTCATGATTTATTGTACTGTGAAGCATTTCGAGACAGGGGTCATCTCAAAAAAACATTTAAAAAAAAATCTTTATACTTGAAAAGACACGAGGACCTTTGGATCTAACCTCTTCTACTACTTTCTCCGCTAGTTTGTGCTTCGGCAATACCGTCCAGTAGAAGCCAGGACTTCAGCTCATGTCGAAACCTTTCCACGGACATCACAGGGTGTTCAACGGAGTTCCTACAAGGAATATCTACGAATGGACTTTTCACAGACTTCACCAAAGGCTTTAATTTGACATCTGCCATATCAGGTTCCTTCTGCCAGTCAAGGTACGTACGTTTCTAATTTTCGCGATAATAATGAGTGAGTGAGTGAGTTGTTGCGTTTTACGCCGCTTTTGGCAATATTCCAACAATATCACGGCGGGGGACACCAAAAATGGGCTTCACTTCACGACAATTAATATCTAATACTTGACATTTATGTCTTCAGTGGTATATATGGACAGTATCTTCTTTTACTGTAAAAAGAAGCTGGTCTGTGTCCAGCAGCTGGTCTGTTTGTGTCCAGTAGCTGGCCTCACTAAAATAGTATGTGGCTTCATTGTGTCCAATGGCTGACCTTACTGTGTCCATTAGTGGCGATTGTATGACCACACCTAAGGTGGTGACTGTATGACCACATCCAAGGTGGTTACTGTATGACCACACCCAAGGTGGTGACTGTAGGGTCACATTCTTGTGCTGACTGTATGGTCTCATCCTTGTGGTGACTGTGTGATCACATCCTTGTGGAGATTGTAGGGTCACATCCTTGTGGTGACTGTAGGGTCACATCCTTGAGGTGATTGTAGGGTCACATCCTTGTGGAGATTGTAGGGTCTCTCCTTGTTGTGGTGACTGTAGGGTCACATCTTTGTGGAGATTGTAGGGTCACATCCTTGTGGAGATTGTAGAGTCACATCCTTGTGGTGACTGTAGGGTCACATCCTTGAGGTGATTGTAGGGTCACATCCTTGTGGTGACTGTATGGTCACATCCTTGAGGTGATTGTAGGGTCACATCCTTGTGGTGACTGTAGGGTCTCATCCTTGTTGGTGACTGTAGGGTCACATCCTTGTGGTGACTGTAGGGTCACACCCTTGTGGTGACTGTAGGGTCACATCCTTGTGGAGACTGTAGGGTCACATCCTTGTGGTGACTGTAGGGTCTCATCCTTGTGGTGACTGTAGGGTCACATCCTTGTGGTGCACAAGGTAACTGTAGGGTCACATCCTTGTGGTGACTCTTTGGTCACATCCTTGTGGTGACTGTAGGGTCACATCCTTGTGGAGATTGTAGGGTCACATCCTTGTGGTGACTGTATCCCGCACTTAAAAGAATCAGCCTAGAGCTCCCTTGCTCTTTTACTCCCAAAGTACTGCTTCGATTTTTGTGCTGTATGTCTCATTTTGTAGGTAAATCTAGTTGGCTTGAAATGTGATTTTGCACTAGCTTACTGCTTCGATTTTTGTGCTGTATGGGATAAATACAGTGAGTATTGTTGAATTGGCCCTGAAACGAACCTGGTGTGTTGACCTCGTTACATCCCTTTCCTTTTATATAGTACTAAGATGGCAGTTTTTAGCCCGTTAGTGACAGTATATACCTTGATGGCAGTTTTTTAGCGTTACAAGCCCATAAATGCTGTGTATTTGTAACAAGTAGCATACATAAATTTTAAAAATACAGTTTATACTTCGAGCAAGTACAATTATTTGATTTTTCTCAAGCGAATTATTGATCTCCCCTACTGTATGACAATCGACCCGCCCAAATGCAAGCCGTGAACTCGCTAAGTTTAGTCGCCGCAAACTTTATTCACGGAAATAATTGTTGATAACCACCCTACTATTCCCAATTTGGCAAAGAACTGACATGCCGTGTTTTATGTGGGATACATTGACAGTGGAAGTGGAAGGACTGGGCATTACGGCCGGGACGGAAGCTGTTAGGTTAGGACGTGTGGGCCGACGTGTGTTGTCGACGTCAACACACGTAGATATGGACCCGCTTTGAATATACTGCCGCTTTTGCGCTGCTTACGGATTTTCCAGCTTCGTAGTTTCTTCACTGGGATTAGGGTCCAGAAATTCTTCTTCAAACCATTCGCTTTTTACTTCAAAAACACCAAAGATGCAGCCGAGATAGAAATTGCCGATGTCCGACATGTTTGTTTACAAACAATAGGGTCAGCGAGTTCGTGGTATTGATACGCGGTGAATCTATCACTTTAATTAGCGGTCCTTAAACTGTCATTTAAGTACGGTTTTGATGAGCTCTCAGCCAATCAGAATCGAGTATCACACATTGCCGTGCTAGAATTACTGCTAATTTGTTTGCTATTTACTAAAAATGGGTTCTACAAGTGACAACAACTTGTGGTGAGTTATGACCATTGTATGAACTTTTACCTGTGATCTCTTCATACCTGGAGGATGCTGCACTGCTTTTAAACTTTTGGCCATTATGCCTTAGTTCTAAATAAACATGATTATCTGTCATGAAAGATATATCTATTTCAGATGTGGACCTTACATGTGTAGGAACTACTGGAGAATGCAGGAGCCCTACTGAACTGTTTAAAGCAGGGAACCAAAGGAGGTTTTAATTTATCCACGCCTGATGGATATCTCGCATTCGTCTGCAGGTAAAATCAAAACATAGTTCAGAATAGAGTAGTGTAGAATATTATAATGGTAACGCTATTTTTCAGGGCATTATCATTTGCAGAAGCCCGAGGTCTTTCATTAACTGCCCGACGAAGGACATCCTCGATAAATTCCAGGGTATACGTTCCGATAAATCTTCACTAGTACCCAGGATGCACCTATGGCTCGGCCCGATAATTTTATTACCTCCCTTTGCTGGCTCCGCATTTTCACAGTAGCCAATCAGCTAAGCCGCCGCTACAACCGGGTTTGCCAGTGTCAACAAAGATAGCGCAGGCTCGAAGGTTTGTTCCTAGTGCGACTCAGATTTGGGGGGAAATCATACAGAAAAATTGACAGGTCTGAAACCTTAAAAAAAATATATGCATGAACTCTTTCTACCTCTTTCCGAGTACCTCTGCAACAATTATGTTGCCAAGTTTAATCGGTTAGATAATAGAAGCGAAAGAGAGTTGTGATTGGTACCTTCCCAGCGTAGACACCTGACTGGATAAAAAGCCAGCCAAGGGAGGTAATAAAATCATGCGGCAGAGCCGTAGATGCATTCAGGATTTAGTGGAGATTTATCGTAACGTATACCCTGGAGATTATCGAGGATGGACGAAGGAGGGCAGTCGAAAAGACCTCTGGCTTCTGCAAATGATAATTCTCTGAAAAGTAGCGTTACCGTTATTATAGCTAAAATGGATAGATTTTTAATTTTAATAAAATAAGGTCATTGCTGCATGTTGTAATCTATGGTACAATTGTTAAGGTTGGCACCGGCAAGAAAGTGTATAATGGCACAGGTACATGCGACGAATATGTCAGAAATATTGTCAATATTGAACCCAAGTTCAAATTAGCCGTAGGTGATTGAACATCAAGAGCTGAGCTCCTCATGACGTCACCTAACAACGGACATGATAATGGCCCGTCGTTAAGCAATTTGGGGGCATTATCAAGTTACAGTGGCCCGCTCATTCCTGATACTATGCGGGCGTTTCAATGATAATTCTGTCCATTTTATCTATAATGAAAAACAGCAATTACGTTCTCGAATCTCTTGTTTCAGTAGCAAACATTAAAACACAAACAGTAGCAAACACAAAGTTAACATTTTTTCATGTTTCACTACTTGATCAGTTAGTCGTGAATATAAATAAACAGCCTTATCACCCTGGCGGGGCTTTCAAGATGACGATATTTCCCGTCACGTGTTAATCTGCCATGTTACCGGATTAAGTGGCCATGTTGCGAGATCTCGCAGGAGGCGGGCGGCGGGCGGCGGGCGGACAAATGGGAAGAGGGCGGGTGGTGCGCTGGAGAGTTTGTGTGGGTATGTTTTTGAGAATGTGTTTGTTTATGCATTGTTTTGGGATGCAGCAGTTGCAGCTACTGGGTCTGAACGTTTCGAGGACTTGTTCGGGAAGTTCATACTGCACTGATCTTCTTTGTCACCGTAATGCCAGGGATACTGACAGTTGTTACTGTCATCAGAGACCATATAATAATATTATATGGTCTCTGCTGTGGTGATATTCGGTTTTTCCCCACATTTATAGTAGGTGTTGCTTTCGTGCCGTTGTTTGCTGCTTCCTCATGTGGGCATCTATGCTGACCATGTCCATGAACACTACAGCATACCATAAGACTGTACAGATGAAATGTTTAGGACAGTTCAAACAAGCTGTGCAAGATGCTCTTCAGAAGCAGCACAACCAGGACGCCATAGCTGGTGCTCCTGATCCTCTCTATAAAACACAGGATCAATTCAAGGCATTCAGTTGCAGTGGCAGATCTAAACACATCAGGGCTGGAATTGAAGATGGCATCTCAAGAGAATCTACCGCCTTCCTTCGTCTAAATGGCTTCACATTCAAAGACCTCACTTCTGACATAGATCCACAACAATACGATGGCTCAAAGTGAGTTATACAACACCAACTATATTGATCTTCAAAACCAAATCCCTGTGATGGAACAGAAATTACCAGCTATAATCCAAAAGTTGGCAGGTATTTTCCCGTAAAAGAGACACTGTATTGGCTGATAACCAAGAACACTTATAGTACCACTCTGATAGCATCCTCGATATCTCCAGGGTATACGTTACGATCACTCTGCATATACTCTGGATGCATCCACGGCTTTTTATGTTGATTTTATCACCTCCCTTGTCTGGCTTTTTATCCAATCAGGTGTCTACGCTTGGAAGTTGAGCGAACCAGTCACAACTCACTTTCACTTCTTAAATTATCTAACCGTTTAAACTTGGCAACACAATAAATGCAGAGGGCACTCTGATGATGTGAAAGGACTTCTTTTACATGTTTTTTAAAGTTTCAGATCGCTCAATTTGTTAGTATTATTTCTCAAATCTGAGTGGTACTGCGAACAAACCTTCGTGACCACTCTGTCAAGCTGTTGACACTAGCAAGCTCGGATGTAACGGCGGCTTAGCTGATTGGCTACTGTGAGAATGAGGAGCCAGCAAAGGGAGGTAATATAATTATCGGGCCAAGGCGTGGATGCATCCAGGGTATAGTGCAGAGTGATCGTAACGTATACCCTGGAGATATCGAGGATGCTCTGATAGCTCCTCCAGCAAACTACCCGTGAAGGTCCGGGTTAGAATATTGATCTTCAGTAACCCATGCTTGCCTTAAGAGGCGACTAATGGGATCCCAGCCAAACAGTAGTGGACGTTATGCTCACCTGGAACTACCTCAAAGAGGAACTCAGATTTGAAATGCGTAAAAACGCAAGTCAACATCTATGCTCAAACTCTGAAAACATGTGTTTGGCTCTCACGGGTTCCTCCTGCTTAACAACGAACCCACCTGACTATGTCCCTGTGTCTCGTCAGATGTTGTGATCAAACACATGGACACCTACGCTACGTGGGATTGCGTCAAGAAACAACAGACGCCATCAAAATATATTTAATGCATGATGTAGGACGTCCTGTGCCATTCCTCTCTCCAGTCAGCTCTCAAAACAGGACTAAAGATGTTGCCAGGAAAGATATCAGTTGTGGACATGTGTCACGGACAGTTTGAAACATCTCGTGTACAGCTCTCAGCTGGTCCATTCCCACCATTGGAACGGCCCTTTTCAGGGCCTACCAAACTCGTCTCAGCAGAATGCTTGAAGAAAGATATACTCGAAAACAGCCCTTTTCCCTGACCCACACACACTCTCCATCGCCCCACACGCCATTTCTCCGCAAGTCCGCCCGCCACCTCTCGTTCCCCGTTCAAACCGGAAAAGCTAATCATGTGACTGGAAGTGGTGACGTCTTACAAATCCCGCCAGTGTGACTTCGTTGACAACTAACATCTGAATTTGGTTATCCTAATCTTCTGATATTTATAACAAATATCTGTCTAAACATGTAACAACTAATGATGGCATTTCCAGTGCATCACAGCTGTACGAAAGCTGCACTAAGACAGCCTATGGTTCCTGTCCGAAGAGAACTGCAGAGGTCCTGGTAGAAATAGACAAGTTAACCAGACCGGCTGGCTGTGACGCTTGTGTCTCCCAGCCGTCTCTCCTCCTGTTGGCCTCAGTGCTGGCTTTCATGATGGCTTTGTTCAAGTAGATACCCAGGCATTCACCGACACAGTTATGCTTGTACTGTTAGTTTCATTTGAACATATTTCAAAACAGGGAAAGCGAAAAATGTTGACATAACAACATAGCCACAGACTGATCGTTTCTTTAATCTCATAGAGGTAAGAACTGCGTGCTGCAGTTTGCTGGGCAGTAGATAGCATCGGGGTGGGTGGGGTGGGGGTGGGGTTGGGGTTGTGTGTGTCCGTTATCCTTCCCATATCTGTCAATGTATCGGATGCTACCAACTGGGAGTCATGGTTGTTTGTTTATTATATCAATAAAGGAAGGGAGATCAACATATGGCAATGACATTTTGCACAACCTGTTGGTGAACTCGAATCTCTCCCCCTGTTTCGATTTCAGGTGTTCCCGGTGTGTTGTAACGTCTGGTTTGTTGTATGCAAGGGTACAATTGATCAACGAGGAATGTCAGGGTTAATGATTGGTTTAAAGTACAGGTATGATCTCAGTTACTTGTCTTTGTCAGTACATAACGATATATCGTATCCTTTTGTAGAGGCCAGTGTACTTGTAGGATGCTGTTTTCACCATACGTTTGGCCTGGTCCCGACTCCGTTATGTACTGACCCGAGTGACCAACGTCCTGCAACTGGTAGTACTTGGATTAGTGTACGCATGTGTGGAAGTGCGGCATCTATATAAATATATCATTGTGTGGTACTATCCAGGATCCGGGTGTTTCACTGTTTTGAAATATGTTCGTCCGCTTTTCTGCAGTAATTTTAAGTGCTTAGTAGTTAGAAAATTCTAAGTTTGTATCCAGTTCCTTTGATTTTTAATGTACTCTACATCTTACACGCTTAGAACTACTTCCAGCATCTGGATATATATCCCACGTTCCCAGATATCATGATCCGTGTTCTGTCGTGAAAGAAGTTAAAGTTTTAATGTTTTTCAGGTAATCCATCATCTCGAGTACAACTGATGGTTTAGGAAGCCTTAGTAACTTAGTCATTAGAGTTTACAGAAGTCATCTGTTGTCTTCATCCATATTGTGGGATTCAGATCGTAAAAACACCCCTGACACTCAACATAAGTAATGTAATGTATCTATTGTCTTACAGCAATTTTGTTTAATTATATTTCAAAACTCTTCACAATCATTAATTCTTGATGCTGTGTTTCTCAGTTTCGTGTTTTGGGGACACAGGTTTCAAGATTTGTTTCTGTTACTTCTTCAGCTCAGATTCAGATTGTTTCTGCTTATAATCAATCAAAAAATAAATTGCTATTGTTTTAGAAATTGTTGGAACTTCAGTGTTTTCTTTTCATCAAAGATCAAAACAAAATTGATCAAATTATAAAAATACGACGAAAGTAACAGACTGCCCACCTCTCGACGTGAGTCAACAATGACTGTTGCGGAAGATTGTGTAAATTTCTATACGTAGACAGCTGCATTTATGCATACCATACATAATTCAAGTGATCCTACTTGGTGAATAGTTCTTGCGAGTTATATTTGGGATTTCCATGAAGATCCGGGTTAGAATTGATCTTCAGTAACCCATGCTTGTCGTAAAAGGCGACTAACGGGATCGGGTGGTCAGGCTTGCTGGCTTGGTTGACACATGTCACCGTATCCCAATTGCGCAGACAGATGCTCACGCTGTTCATCACTGGATTGTCTGGGCCAGACTAGATTATTTACAGACCGCCGCCATATTGCTGGAATATTGCAAGGTGCGGCGTAAAACTAAACTCACTCTATCATTTGGGATGTCATTATGCTACCCTCCTGTGGAATGCGTTTGAGAAAAGACGCCACCCATCCTGGAAGGCTTGCCACGTCAGCGCCATCAGAAATGATTCAGAGAATCCATGGCATGTTACGACCCGCTTCCTCTTAGCAGCTAACTGTACCCAAACTTCAATGGTGACAGGAGTTTTGTTGAGGCAGGCCCAGTCCTCTGGAATGAACTTTCAGATCACATACAGCATATCACTAACTTTCAGACATTCCAGCATGGAGTGAAGACCTGCTGTTTCAAAGAGCCTTGGGCCTGCGCTTGAGCAACGTTTGAGTGTAGGCGCCACATAAATCTGAAAATTATATGAGGATGGCGACCAGTGGCTCATGTTGGTAGTTCAGCAATCATCTTGCAGGAGAGAAGGACAGCCCATAATCACAGTGACATTGGCAGTGTCATCTCGTTGGTTCGGACATCTGATAAGAAAAACACCAGGCACAATGTTGGAGGCGTTCGACATCACCACTACAAAAGAAGGCAACTACTTGCCAAGCAGCTGAGACAGTCATTGCTTACGTGTTTAAGGGTTTTCAAGGGGGTCTTCAACCTGGACGGTCGACCAAATTACCATAGTAGGCTGGTCTTTTGAAACAATTTCGAGATGAAAGAAAGACCAAGGGGAGCGGGTAAACCTGCTGGGTAGGAGCCTGTGGTGTAGCTATGGTAACAGTGTTGGCAGTTTCGCACACAGGAGCGTACCATTATGAAAAAAAGCCGGGGCTTACACATGATTTTGAAAAGTTGGGCAAGCCCTCAACACTAACTAAATATAAAGCTTTGCAACCTACCGGGCTTACACGAAAAAAACATTATTATTTTATTTTTTTAAAATTCTTTCTCTTTTCTTTCTTAATATTTTGATGTATTAGTTTGAGAAAAACATTGTCAACGTGCAGTGTGTACACGTGATACTTAACAGTGACGTAGTTCATAGGGGGTCGTGTTGAATATAATGTTGGTCAGTGTACCTCAGTGATAATTGTGCTGAACTATGACATAGGGGGGTCGTGTTGAACATAAGTTTGGTCTGTGTACCTCAGTGATAATTGTGCTGAACTATGACATAGGGGGGTCGTGTTGAACATAAGTTTGGTCTGTGTACCTCAGTGATAATTGTGCTGAACTATGACATAGGGGGTCGTGTTGAACATAAGTTTGGTCTGTGTACCTCAATGATAATTGTGCTGAACTATGACACCTCTGTGAACTGTAGAAATTTAAATATCAGTGCAATGGTATGTTATGGCTTTGCCAGGTTTAACAGAAACCAAGTCAGAATCTCGCAGTTTGAATCAAGAGAGCTACGTGCTGTTGTAAGATCATGCCCCTCCTTTTATCCCTAAACAGGTATACATTTTCTGGACAAAGAGCTAAGTCATATTCAAGGTTGCGGTACTTCTTCTCATAGCTACATGCACAATTGTCCTAAACGTGCCTCCACATGACGAATGTGAACCCTGCTCTCTCTTGTTTGCCACAGGTGCAGTGGTTAAGCTGTCGAATTAAAGACAAAAGATGTTTACCAGTCGTTGTCAAGTTGGGATGATAAGTGCTCAATGTGGGTAGTTATGTAATATCGAATCAGTCATGTCTGGTGAATGCAGTGACATCGTGTCTATATTACACTTGCAAGCGGGACCATATAAGTGTAAATAGTATCAACAGGGCACACAAAGGGTCCTGTGTAAACTCAACTAACACCTTTCAAAAAAGGTGTGACTAAGGTGGGTTACTCAGAAATACTAAGCTGTATATATGGTATACTTTGCTGTACATAACCAACGCATACATACAAAACATCTGGAGTCACGTGCATAAAGTATTTGCTCACACAAAAGACTAAGTGAGTGAACAAGTAAATATTGGTTAAAGGTGAGTCAGCAGTATTGCAGGTAGTTGCGGCTAAGTTTGTAAGAATATATGACGAAACACTTAATTATGTATCATTATAACAAAAGTGTCATATTTATCATCCAAAATGTCTACTGGTGGAACTACGGAAACATAAACGACCCACTCTACTAAAATTGATTGTGTATGTAGAATATATGTGCGTATAATTGACTTTCTATGGCCTGTTTGAACAAACACAGCTCTTAACCTTAATGATCTTGAAGAATATCTCATTTGTAATCGATGTGATGGTCTGAAACTAGAATACGATCACGTGACCAGCTACCTTAAACTTTTAGTGTTTTTTGTTTTATTTTCTTTATTTGTTCCCATAATTGAATGCAAGCATATAATTAAGCAATAATTAAGTGTACATGTGCATGATCAAAGTTCATCAACTGGTAGCATAAAGAAATTATAATCCAGTAAAGTTATTCAAGTTTGATGACAGATTAAGTCAGAGATCGAAAATTGAGGATAAAGGGAACCATTTCTCTGAAAATTTATCAAAATTTTTGTTCCTTCTGGATATGAAATTTTCAACCGTGTAAAATTTTAAGAAATTATTAACTTTTGGAATTATTTTCTTTAAAGTGCAATATATATATATATATGTCTTTTAGCAGAAAAGATTATATGATTTAGCAATGGCTTATTACCCAAAATACCAAACCAAACCAAAGTCTTTGTTATTTCAAATTTCTGTATGTTTTGGATTATCCAAATTTCAAGTTCTTTCCAGAAGGTTTGGGTTACATTACATTCCCAATATACATGACATAAAGTTTCACTATCCACATTACAAAAGCTACATATTGTATTGTCAACAAGTTTCATTTTCGAAAATTCTTTTGTTTTATATATATAATTCTGTGCAAATATTTAGATTTAAAATCTAAAAGTTTTACATCTTTCAAATTGTTTCTGCAAATATTAAAAATCATACGCCAATCAAAATCAATATCATAAAATAAGTTTTCCCATTTTAGGCAAATATGAGGTTTAATATTGTCAGAAAAGAGTTTATCATAAAATAATCTAGAACCTTTTTTCAAATCCATAAAATCTTTATGAGGAAAGTTATTATCCAGATCATTGTTATGTATATTTCTGTATTGTTTTATGGTCCTTTTCCATGATTCAGGTATGATATACAAACATATCCAAGATCCTTATACGTACCTCTAATATCAAATTTGAGCTTCAGATCTTCAAAAGACATAAAACCATCTTCATTACAAAGGTCCTTAATTGTTAAAATTCCATTTTTAGCCCAATGCCTAATAAAGTGATTTGGGTTTTTGAAATTATCATCATGAAAAAAAGCCCGGGCTTACACATAGTTTTTAAAATGAAAGTTGGTCAAGGCCTCAACACTCACTAAATATAAAGCTTTGTAACCTATCAGGCTTACACGAAAAAATTGGCTTGCTAGACGCCTGGCACATGTGTGTTTGTCTGTGTCTGTGTCTGTCAAGAGGCCACTAGACTGAAGTTAGAATATTAGGGTTCACAATAAACTTAAGGTATGAAAATATCCAAAAGTAGATCGAAAGCAATGAGAGATTGTGTATGAATTGCAATACTTTTTATCAAACGGTTATAGAAGCACAAGTAGGATTAGCATGAGACATGTTTGCATTAATTTCTGTTTAAGTTTGAGTATGGTCGTCGTTGTCATCATCACCATCATCACCATCATCATCATCATCATCCTCGTCATCACGGGAATTGTGTGGACGGCGTATCGGACCCTCTTTCCTCCATCATCTCAGAGCCTGCTCGGTCGGCCATGTTTTCTGACGCGCACACCTTTGATGTTAGTGACGGACATGACGATGCCGTTGTTGTCGGGGCTGTCAAGGAGTTGCTCAAACGCAGTCACCACCTGACTGAGCCTGACAACAAAGTGAGCAGTTCATCACTCGAGGAAGGGGTAGGGGTAGGGGTTACACTGGGGTATAACGTTAATATTGTTTTGTGCATCGTATGGTTCACCACTAGGGATACGGGTAGGGGTTACACTGGAGTATAACGGTAATATTGTTTTGTGCATCGTATGGTTCACCACTAGGGTTAGGGGTAGGGGTTACACTGGGGTATAAAGGTAATATTGTTTTGTGCATCGTATGATTCATCACTAGGGGAAGGGGTAGGGGTTACACTGGGGTATAACGTTAATATTGTTTTGTGCATCGTATGGTTCATCACTAGGGGTAGGGGTTACACTGGGGTATAACGGTAATATTGTTTTGTGCATCGTATGGTTCATCACTAGGGGAAGGGGTAGGGGTTACACTAGGGGGTATAACGTATAAAAGTAATATTGTTTTGTGCATCGTATGATTCATCACTAGGGGGAAGGGGTAGGGTTACACTGGGGTATAACGGTAATATTGTTTTGTGCATCACTATGGTTCACCACTTAATATTGGGTTAGGGGGGGTAGGGTTACACTGGGGGGGTATCACCAACGGTAATATTGTTTTGTGCATCGTATGGTTCATCACTAGGGTAGGGGTAGGGGTTACACTGGGGTATAACGATAATATTGTTTTGTGCATCGTATGGTTCATCACTAGGGGTTGGGGTCACACTGGGGTATAACGGTAATATTGTTTTGTGCATCGAATGGTTCATCACTAGGGGAACGGGTAGGGGTAGGGGTTACACTGGGGTAGGGGTTACACTGGGTTATAACGGTAATATTGTTTTGTGCATCGTATGGTATAAAACTCAGGGATGTTCATAAAGTGAAAAGAGGTTTCATTTGTCTTCATCTGCCATTTTCCTGATTCAGTGTCACTGGGAAACAAACATAGTCTATATACATGACTCCCGCTGACTTTATATCACAATGCTGTCACTCACGGCATCACTCCCACTTCCGCCATCATTCTCTGGGAATCCTCGGTGTACAGACTCCGGCCTTCGCGGAAGTCACCATGGACAATCATGTCGGTGTCGGTGAAGGTTGGACATATACACGCAAAGCTGATGCCGAGAGACGCCAGATGCGGGTTGGCCTGCACATATTGTACGGGAATATTTCACACAGCTGTCTTCAGGGTTTATCACAGATAACTGATGACGCTTCGAGCATTAACGATAACTCATAATTTAAATAAACAGGTCCCCTGAAAATGATAAAGGTCAACCCCAGCTGATATCTGTCAATAGCAGGACCAGTGGTTTATTTATGTGTTTGATACATATGTACATAACAAATAGTTGCGATAGATCATTAATTACGTACCGGCGGTAGATACAAAACAGTATCGACGCCAGTGCTTGATATATTTCAATAACGGTACCAACAGTAAACACGTGTCAGTATTGGTACCAACAGTTGATATATGTCAGTAATGGTACTGGCAGTAGATGCAAAACCATACTGGTTCCAGTAAATGTCAATAACGGTATCGGCAGTACATGCCAGTATCGGAATCAGGAGCAGACATGTGTCCGTGTAGGTTCTAGTAGTTCTGTAACAGTAGTCTTGTGTGTTGAATCTAAGTTGAAAACTTTACAGTCGTCGTTACCTGGAAATCAGTCCGTAAAAGATCTCGGTATGAAACTACCGAGCAAGGTTAATTTGCCATGGCAGATTGCACGATTCATCACCTGCTTATCACCATTTCCCAACAATTTGCACTTGCTTGAATTCAATTCAGATTGTAAATATACACATAACAGTAGAAGTGGGCGGGGCAGATAGTAAAATACACATAACAGTAGAAGTGGGCGGGGCAGATAGTAAAATACACATAACAGTAGAAGTGGGCGGGACAGACATTAAAATACACATTACAGTAGAAGTGGGCGGGGCAGACATTAAAATACACATTACAGTAGAAGTGGGCGGGGCAGATAGTAAAATACACATTACAGTAGAAGTGGGCGGGGCAGATAGTAAAATACACATAACAGTAGAAGTGGGCGGGGCAGATAGTAAAATACACATAACAGTAGAAGTGGGACGGGGCAGATAGTAAAATACACATTACAGTAGAAGTGGGCGGGGCAGATAGTAAAATACACATTACAGTAGAAGTGGGCGGGGCAGATAGTAAAAAACACATAACAGTAGAAGTGGGCGGGACAGACATAAAATAAAATAGAACATATTAAAATTAACAGTAGAAGTGGGCGGGGCAGATAGTAAAATACACATAACAGTAGAAGTGGGCGGGGCAGATAGTAAAATACACATTACAGTAGAAGTGGGCGGGACAGATAGTAAAATACACATAACAGTAGAAGTGGGCGGGGCAGATAGTAAAATACACATTACAGTAGAAGTGGGCGGGGCAGATAGTAAAATACACATTACAGTAGAAGTGGGCGGGGCAGATAGTAAAATACACATTACAAATACACATAAAATACACAGTAGAAGTGGGAGGGGCAGATAGTAAAATACACATTACAGTAGAAGTGGGCGGGGCAGATAGTAAAATACACATTACAGTAGAAGTGGGCGGGGCAGACATTAAAATACACATTACAGTAGAAGTGGGAAGGGACAGATAGTAAAATACACATTACAGTAGAAGTGGGTGGGGCAGATAGTAAAATACACATTACAGTAGAAGTGGGTGGGACAGACATTAAAATACACATTACAGTAGAAGTGGGGGGGACAGACATTAAAATACACATTACAGTAGAAGTGGGCGGGGCAGATAGTAAAATACACATTACAGTAGAAGTGGGTGGGGCAGATATTAAAATACACATTACAGTAGAAGTGGGCGGGACAGACATTAAAATACACATTACAGTAGAAGTGGGTGGGGCAGACATTAAAATACACATTACAGTAGAAGTGGGCGGGACAGACATTAAAATACACATTACAGTAGAAGTGGGCGGGGCAGACATTAAAATACACATTACAGTAGAAGTGGGTGGGGGGACAGACATTAAAATACACATTACAGTAGAAGTGGGCGGGGCAGATAGTAAAATACACATTACAGTAGAAGTGGGCAGGACAGACATTAAAATACACATTACAGTAGAAGTGGGCGGGACAGACATTAAAATACACATTACAGTAGAAGTGGGCGGGGCAGACATTAAAATACACATTACAGTAGAAGTGGGCGGGACAGACATTAAAATACACATTACAGTAGAAGTGGGCGGGGCAGACAGTAAAATACACATTACAGTATTACAGTAGAAAGTGGGACAGACATTGGGACAGAGTGGGCGGGGCATTAAAATACACATTACAGTAGAAGTGGGCGGGGCAGACATTAAAATACACATTACAGTAGAAGTGGGCGGGGCAGATAGTAAAATACACATTACAGTAGAAGTGGGCTAGACAGCATTACAGTAGAAGTGGGCTGGGGAACAGACAACAGACACACACAGACAGAATACACATTACAGTAGAAGTGGGCGGGACAGACATTAAAATACACATTACAGTAGAAGTGGGTAGGACAGACATTAAAATACACATTACAGTAGAAGTGGGTAGGACAGACATTAAAATACACATTACAGTAGAAGTGGGTAGGACATTATAGTAGGAAAAATACACATTACAGTAGAAGTGGGATTGGGACAGACATTAAAATACACATTACAGTAGAAGTGGGTGGGACAGACATTAAAATACACATTACAGTAGAAGTGGGTAGGACAGACATTAAAATACACATTACAGTAGAAGTGGGCGGGACAGACATTAAAATACACATTACAGTAGAAGTGGGCGGGACAGACATTAAAATACACATTACAGTAGAAGTGGGCGGGACAGACATTAAAATACACATTACAGTAGAAGTGGGCGGGACAGACATTAAAATACACATTACAGTAGAAGTGGGTGGGACAGACATTAAAATACACATTACAGTAGAAGTGGGTAGGACAGACATTAAAATACACATTACAGTAGAAGTGGGTAGGACAGACATTAAAATACACATTACACATTACAGTAGAAGTGGGCGGGACAGACATTAAAATACACATTACAGTAGAAGTGGGCGGGACAGACATTAAAATACACATTACAGTAGAAGTGGGGGCGGGACAGACATTAAAATACACATTACAGTAGAAGTGGGCAGACATTAAAATACACATTGCAGGACAGACATTAAAATACACATTACAGTAGAAGTGGGCGGGACAGACATTAAAATACACATTACAGTAGAAGTGGGCGGGACAGACATTAAAATACACATTACAGTAGAAGTGGGCGGGACAGACATTAAAATACACATTGCAGTAGACAGTGGGCGGGTGGGCAGGACAGACATTAAAATACACATTACAGTAGAAGTGGGCGGGACAGGGACAGTAGAAGTGGGCGGGACAGACATTAAAAATACACATGGGCGGGACAGACATTTAAAATACATTACAGAAGTGGGCAGGACAGACATTAAAATACACATTACAGTAGAAGTGGGCGGGACAGACATTAAAATACACATTACAGTTACAGTAGAAGTGGGCGGGACAGACATTAAAATACACATTACAGTAGAAGTGGGCGGGACAGACATTAAAATACACATTACAGTAGAAGTGGGCGGGACAGACATTAAAATACACATTACAGTAGAAGTGGGTGGGACAGACATTAAAATACACATTACAGTAGAAGTGGGCGGGACAGACATTAAAATACACATTACAGTAGAAGTGGGCGGGACAGACATTAAAATACACATTACAGTAGAAGTGGGCGGGACAGACATTAAAATACACATTACAGTAGAAGTGGGCGGGACAGACATTAAAATACACATTACAGTAGAAGTGGGCGGGACAGACATTAAAATACACATTGCAGTAGAAGTGGGCGGGCAGATAGCGGAAACACACATGGCAGTACAGACAGTGGGACAGGCGGGACAGACATTGACTGAAGGAGTTGGGATTGTATGCTGCTTCAAACGGCATGTCAGTTGTATCACATTGTTTGATTGGTATGAGCTTGTTCGGAGAACAGTCAGTGAGCTCGTGCACCTCGGCACGAAAGTAAATGACAGAAACATCTGCAACCCGTCGTGCCAACAGTTGCGAGTGTTGATGTTTGCTTCTGGACGAATAATCTTCCAGATTTGTCAGTACCAGACAACGCAGGTTTTATACAGGGGTTTCATTAAAGTTACAACCTACCTCAAGGGCAGTGTTGGCAGCACTGAGTCAGCAAATGCATCTGAACAGGAGTGTTATCAGTGTAAGAGGTTAATTATGACTACAAGATGGATTTAAGGTGCCATGCTTATATGCGTGGAGCATCTGGGTTACAATACCTGCAGCTGAAGCGATGTTGACGACCACGCCCCCCTGTCCCCCCGTGTCTCGCCTCATGACCGCTACCGCCTCCTGCGTCCCATCGATTACCCCTTTCTGTCAACAACAACCCACATGTAACTTGTGTTGATCTCAACACAACCAGTACCCATTATTTAAATCAGTATGTCAAAATGATGAGTAAACTGTTGGTAAACTGAGATCCTATGCGTATTTGTGTTCATACCAGATTGACATCCACCATCTTGCTCCATTGTGCCTCGCTGGAAATGCCGGCGTTGTTGACCATGATGGTCAGTTTACCGAACCGGTCCCGCGTCGCCTGCACGGCCGCTGCAACATCACCGACAGCACGTTAGAACTGCTGAACAACCAGGGAACCACGTTGTTATATCTACTACACATCCTACTAATGATTATTTGTCTGGGAACAAGTGATACCCTCTAGGGTGGTTCCTCAAAGCGATCGTAGCGCTACTACAGGGGTTCGTCTATGTTAAAGCATGGGAGTTAGCGCTACGATCCTTTTGTGGGATGGGGCCCTGGATTTGAATTAAAGAAAACTTCATGTTTTCGTTCACTGCCAGTATTACTCTATTAAAAGAGGAAAACAATAAGGACGCTTAAGAGTGACAGACCGCCAATAGTTTGGTGACAACGAATTCTGCGTACTACATGTATATTCATACAGAAAGATAGCTAACCTTTTACGTCCGCTTCGCACGTCACGTCGCATTTGAAGAAGAACACTCTATCTCTACCGAACTGTTGCTGGAAGCGTAACACAGTTGCCTCCCCTGTTTGAACTTTGACATCTGCCACACATACCTGTTCAAGTGATAGGATGGTGACAAGAAGTATCGAGTTGCATTAATTGTGGTATGGTTTCAATCGTAGTTATCACCGAACCACATGAAAAGATAATAGCGACCCCTACCTTAGCCCCCCTCCTCAGTAGGGCCTCTGTGAAGCCCCTCCCGAGCCCCTGCGCTGCCCCCGTCACGAGCGCCACTTCGTCTCCCATCGCGACTGCCTCCTGTGTTGCTCGTCGCGTCCTACCGCTATGTGGGGGATTAAATCTTACCAATTACTAACTGATCCCACTACGACTAGTTATCCGACTGTGTGAGGTCAGTTCATGTCTTGTGTTATCATCTCAACACAACACATACAGCGGCTTTCTAATGAAGGACTGAAGGGTACAAAGTCTCTGTGTCAGGGTTAACTTGACATACATTCCAAACTAGGTCAGATTTTTCATACGGGCTGTGTCCTGTGATGACATTGCCGTGTGAGTGAGTGAGTGAGTTTGGTTTTACGCCGTGTTTAGCAATATTCCAGCAATATTACGGCGAGGGACACTAGAAATGGGCTTCACACAATGTACCCATGTGGGGGATCGAACCCGGGTCTTCAGCGTGACGAGCGAACGCTTTAACCACTAGGCTACCCAACCGCCCACATTGACGTGTGAAGTTAGACAGATTGTAGAAGATGTAATATACGTGCAATATACCAGCAATATTCGGGCGGGATAAACCTTAAATGGGCTCCCTACATTGTAGGGACTCGAACCCGAGTCTTCAGCGTGACGAGCGAACGCCATAACCATGAGGCTCTTAGTAACATTTTTCTAGAGCTGAGAGGAATTTGTGTGCTGTGTGATGTTCATATAATGCTTCAAATGTAGCTACTTGTTATTGGTACGTCCACATCCTAAAGGTGTCGTTACGCATGGACATCCAGAAACCAGTCTGCCAGCTTGTTCAATGTGAGATTATTTACATTACGCACAGAGTACAGTAATAACCAAATGCAGAGGAGTCAGGCCCGAGGCCGACTGAAAACCACTCGGACCCACAGCTTTTGTTTTCTGCAGGTCCTAATTGACGACAGCTTTTTCATCCCTAAGAGTATTATTTTTCAGAAAATATCATTCGGTAATTTCTAGTTTAAATTTCTAAATTAAACTCTTGAAATCAGTTTGTTAGTTGTCACATTTCTGTTTGTTTTCTGGGAATTACTTTTATTGTACCTAAATCAAGACCCACAAGCTGTTAATGGTTCTGGGTCCCGGGCCTGCAGCTTTTCTGGGTTATGGACAAACATTGACCATAGGTAGCCACTTGTGACCAACACGTGTCATTTCGAGACAAACTGAATGGCGACTCTTATCATTCTCGAATGAAATTTCATTGTTTAAATGTCATTGAAGATGGGTGCCATGTTACTGGACATTATCAGGTGTACGAGTTGAGAGAGGTGGTCTTTAAAGCAAATGTTATACGTGAATGTTATCATCCTGTGTGATCTTGGCAAATATATAAAGTCAATTTAACCACCAAAACCTGCCGTGATATTGTGCACAAAAACAAATGGGTTTGATACAGCTACAGCTGGTCTATTGTACAGTGTATATATGTGAATACATTTGTAGGAACGGCCCTACACCGTATGGAATGGCCCATGCATGTGTCTCATAATGTACATTGGTATCATGTGTTGAGACTGCGTTACAAAATCTGTGTCTGTCTATATGCGTATATGTCTGTCTACTTGTGTGTGTGTGTGCGCGCGTGTATCTCTGTGTCTCTATCTTAATTACCCGTAACAACATTAATTATATAAAAACATTAAGGACATTCCTCTCTACTGTATTAAAACTAAGAAGTAAACCCACCATTATGAAATAATTGATCTTGAATTTCAGTCTTCACTGTATACTCTGCATGTATGTATTATCTATATTCACATTATGATTGTATTATGGGCCAATGGCCTACATTATTGAAATAAAATGTCTCTCTGTATCTGTCTATCTGTGTGTGTCTGTCTGTCTGTCTATCAATGTTTGTGTCTATATGTGTGTGTGTGTCTATCTGTCTGTCTATCAATGTTTGTGTCTATCTGTGTGTGTGTCTGTCTGTCTATCAATGTTTGTGTCTATCTGTGTGTGTGTCTGTCTGTCTGTCTATCAATGTTTGTGTCTATCTGTGTGTGTGTGTCTGTCTGTCTACCAATGTTTGTGTCTATCGTGTGTGTGTGTGTCTATCTGTCTATCAATGTTTGTGTCTGTCTGTGTGTGTATATCTTTGTCTGTGTATCAATGTTTGTGTCTATGTGTCTGTCTGTCTATCTGTCTGTCTATCAATGATTGTGTCTATCTATGTGTGTATGTCTGTCTATCAATGTTTCTGTCTATCTGTGTGTATCCATCCGTTTGTCTATCAATGTTTCTGTCTATGTGTGTGTCTATCTGTGTGCGTGTGTCCATCTGTCTATCAATGTTTGTGTCTATCTGTGTGTGTCTATCCGTCTGTTTAACAATGTTTGTGTTTATCTGTGTGTGTCTATCTGTGTGTGTGTCTGTCTGTCTATCAATGTTTGTGTCTATCTGTGTGTGTATCTGTCATCAATGTTTGTTGTCTATCTGTATCTGTGTGTCTGTCTGTCTATCAATGTTTGTGTTTATCAATGTTTTGTGTGTGTGTGTCTATCTGTGTGCGTGTGTCCATCTGTCTACCAATGTTTGTGTCTATCTGTGTGTGTCTATCCGTCTGTTTAACAATGTTTGTGTTTATCTGTGTGTGTGTGTGTCTGTCTCAATGTGTGTATGTCTGTCTGTCTGTCTGTCTATCAATGTTTGTGTCTATCTCTGTGTCTGTCTGTCTGTCTGTCTATCAATGTTTGTGTCTATCTGTGTGTGTCTATCCGTCTGTTTAACAATGTCTTTCTATTGTGTCTATCTGTCTGTGTGTGTGTGTGTCTGTCTGTGTGTGTCTATCTGTCTGTCTATCAATGTTTGTGTCTATCTCTGTGTGTGTGTGTCTGTCTGTCTGTCTATCAATGTTTGTGTCTATCTGTGTTGTGTCTTTGTGTCTATCTGTGTGTGTCTGTCTGTCTGTCTATCAATGTTTGTGTCTATCTGTGTGTGTGTCTATTTGTCTGCCTATCAATGTTTGTGTCTATCTGTCTTTCTATCAATATTTGTGTCTATCTGTGTGTCTATCTGTCTGTGTGTGTGTCTATCTGTATGTCTATCAATGGTTGTGTCTATATGTGTGTGTGTCGGTCGGTTTGTCTGTTTATCAATGTTTGTGTTTATCTCTGTGTGTGTGTGTGTGTGTATCTTTCTGTCTATCAATGTTTGTGTCTGTGTGTGTGTCTATCTGTCTATCAATGTTTGTGTCTATCTGTGTGTGTGTGTGTGTGTGTGTGTGTGTTTCTGTCTGTCTGTGTGTCTGTCTATCAATGTTTGTGTCTATCTGTGTGTGTTTGTCGGTCGGTCTGTCTGTTTATCAATATGTGTTTCTATCAGTGTGTGTGTGCGTGTGTGTCTATGTGCGTGTGTATGTGTGTGTGTACCTGAGTGTCTGTCAATCTATGTATGGCTGTCTGTCTATTTCTGTTTGTCTATCTGCGTGTTTGTCTATTTGTATGTATGTCTGTCTCTAGACACGCATAGTCTATCACTCTGTGGGTCTGTCTATCTGTGTGTCAGTCTGTGTCTGTTTGTTTGGGTGGGTGTCTATCTAGATGCATGTCTGCCTACCTGTGTCTGTATCTGTCTATTTTCGTCTGTCTTCTGGAAGATGACGTTACGAACATCACAAACGAGTACGATGACTTTGTTTATGTTCAATTGTAAAGATCGTTTCAGTAGTGCGCAACTATTGCTGTACTGAATAGATGCTTCTGTACTGAACCATATCAAAAGTAGTTACTGAAAATCTTATTAACTAATTATCAGCTGTCCATCTCTTATTTCTGGAATATGTCTTATGTGCTTTTAAGGTTAGGAAAGATTTTAAAATGAGAAGGCGTCTTCTGTTATATGACGTGCTCAGATCTTTCGTTAGCCGTAGCGAGAGGAAAAATCTGATTTTAGTGAGATTTAGTTAGAACAGAAAGTCATGCTTGTTATGGCGACTATTTGGACAGGCTCGGGCAATCCCATCGTTGGTTTGTCTCGTCGAGACTAGATTAGTTTAAGTCTGTTGTAGGGCTGTGCAATATAACCGGTTTACCGGTATTTACCGGTTCAGACATGAAAACGATACGTATTGCGATACGCTGATCGAAAACCGGTATTTTGACTTGCATTCGGAAAACTTTGTAACACTCAGAAATCTTTGGATATTTCCGTGTTTCATTCGTGGCAAATATTATTTACATTTTTTTTTTTGTCATGATTAAAAGTTGTCATTAAAGCTTAATCAAGCATAGTGATTTTGTTGTTTTTGCTTTATATATCAAGTATTAACTCGATTATAAGTAGTTTTTTGTTTAAAAAATACCTTTTACAATATAATATCGCAATATATGCTTTCGCATCGCAATATATCGCAATATGAAAATTCTCTGCAGTGCCCACCCCTAGTATGTTGTGATTTACTCGGAATATGTTGCAGCTTTACACAACATGAGTCCAACGCCCTACAAAGTTGTCACTTGAGAGAAACAACTCCAATGTACAGTTTATATTGACTCGTTAGTGCGGACACCCCCGTAACCCGGACAATATGGCTGTTATATGGACACATGTACAGCGAAAAATTATCCCCTAGCGATTATTTTGCAGCTGTTTATTCTAAGTATCCAAGAGACGACGGCTTTCGTCAACTGCGATAAAACAAGTGAAGCGGACATAGAATCTTCCCGCCATCTATCGTGCATTAAATTTTACCCCAGAGGCATGGAACAAGTGTTATTTGTTAAGTAGGTAATCACTCTAAGTAATCAGAAAAACGGACACCAATATACTAAATGCCGCCAGCCCGGGGCAGAAGACACAGCCTATACTTCCCTATTATATTACACATGTAACAGACATATACAAGCATTTTGAGCGTCAATGCATCATACAATACACAAGACAGACCGTGTAAACCCTCCTCACAATACACTGGGCTCGCACCTACCGACCGGCTGAGTGCTGGATACAGCCGGGTGCTATCTATGAAACCTTCATGGTTGACATTATATTATCTTACTCCCATTCATATTCCCTAATGAGTCTACTACTCCGCCTGAACTAGAATCATTTATACCATGGCTCCTATCTCGCCGTAGTTGCGTTGCTATGGCAACTTAAATACTTTTTCTCAACCAGCTGATATGTAATACGGATATTGTTGATAATGGGTTTAGATGGGATGGAACTGATGGTTTGTGTTATAACATATATCTTGTAGCACATTATTCAGGCCCTTTCACAAACATAGAGATCAATAAATCATAAATAGTATCGACCTGTGCCAATGGGTTCCTCACGGCAAACTGGACACATCCTGCGTGTGAGATGGATGTTTGCTGCTTATGAAAAAAATCGCTACTTTAAGTTGCATTATTGAAATTATGACTTTGAGGATTGTTATGTAAAATGTAATAAGTTCTACTGTCAGTAGTCACTTTCCTCACCATATTCTGAAACCTTACTGTTTAGAATTGTTTCTCTAATATTAATCCTGAGTAGTCCAAGATATGCTTTTATTATTGTGGTAGAGTTCTGTACATAGTGATTCTGTACATAGTGATTATGTTTTATCATTTAGCTGTTTTACTTAACACGTTTAAATAGTATCGTTTGTATGTTTCAGGAAAAAACAGTAACTAATACTTATTTATTGGATTTATTTCAGATGTATAGATCAGTCATCTTCACTGATTTATGAATAATCAAATCTCTCATTTCAGGCTGCATAAGATATTTAAACAGTTGTAAGTAAAGTAATATCAGTAAAGCGCTTTTCTTATATTAAGTGCATTTCATTGGGTAAGTCCACTTTAGTGTAAGGTAGATCAGCTATCAATCAAAGTATAAGCGTAGATGTTTTAATGATTGGCTAGTTTTGAATTTGGTGTCCGACTTCTAAACCCTTTGTTTCCACGTGCACGTTACTCACTAACACAACCCTCTACACTCGGATACAGGTACAGGATCGGAGAAGTGGTTGTTACGTCATTGTCACATTGTCAGTTGTGTGGACAACACCACCGCTGTGACTCCCACTCACCAGTTTGTATTGAAAAGAAATTGAAAAGAAATAAATGGGCCTCACACACCCCACCACCCCAAACCCCCGTAGCCTGTGCATCGTGATTACTTCACAACTACACATCAACGGCTATTAGATTATGATGGTTTGTTTGTCGTGACCATACCAGAATATATGCGTTTCATTTCACATGACGTCAGTTACATAAATAGAACATTGTGCAATGTGAAAGAAACATCACTGATACTCCTACAACCGAGGTTCGGTGAGGTGGCCTAGTGGTTAAAGCGTTTGCTCGTCACGCCGAAGACCCGGAATCGATTCCCCACATGGGTACAATGTGTGAAGCCCATTTCTGGTGTCCCCCGCAGTGATATTGCTGAAATATTGCTAAAAGCGGCGTAAAAACTATATACTCACTCACTCACTCTTACCAATGGTCATATTGACGGAGGGCACAGAAAACATATTTAAAATGATTAAAATAGGAAAAAAACGTGGTCTGATATTTGAATGTTACTTTAATGAGCACAAATACAGCTGTGTCCCAGAATGTGCTACAGGTGGTTGGATGGCACTCGGGGACCATGGACCAATGGTAGGAAATATTAACTCCGCTGTTCTGCCGTGATACAGTTGTTTTCATTTTTTATTTTGAAACAATTCAACAAATTCTCATAAAAATATTTTTAAAATGGTATCTACATAATAAATGGAAATAACAAAATCCCTGAATTAGTTGATAGATTTCGTCTCCGTGGGCGACCCAGGAACACTGCCCACAGTTGACGGAAGAGGACACCCAGTCGATTTCTCGGGTATGGGATCCTCCATCGATATTCTGGGATTAAGACATCCTGTCGAGGTCAGAGGAAGAGACGGCACTGTTGAGATCCGAGGAAGTGGAGATCGTGTCGACGGTCCGGGATCAGGACACACCGTCGAGGTCCCGACTAGTACTGATCCCTGCGATAATTGTGTTCTCCGCCAAACTGTCTCTCTGGTTACCGACAAATGTAAGCCTTCCTGTTTTTGCGAGAGTTTTGAAAGCGTGTGTTGTCTGAAAGTGTCCGGCTTGTGTATGATGTTGCTGACCAGCGAGGCGTCTAGTACCGTGTGCAGACCAGAAGTAATAGTGAAACGCTCCTTGTCGTGAGTTCGCGGAGGTTTCATACATGAGCACACTAGTGACATAAATGACTGTTTGAATTTCTTGTTCATGGTTGCTATGACGACAGGATTAATAACACAGCACAGGAAGGACAACCAGACAAATGACGTCACCAGCGCTTCCGGTAAATGCGAACAGCAGGTTTGGTCAACGATCTTAACAATTGATAAAGGGATACAGAAAGCTGCATAGGCAAGGATAATGGTAAACAAGGCTCTCATAGCCTTCAGTGTGTTTCGGCCATAGTGGGCGGGCCTTAATGACGAACCAGGCAAAGGTAACATAGCAAATACTCGATGGTGGGAGCTCGCCTCTTTAACTATTTTGGCAAGCATAACAATTATCACAAATGCTGGTAAAAGACATCCAAATAATTCCTTGAAAAGCATATGGGATGAATGGCTATCTCCTAGCAACATGCACAAAGAAAACTTTCCAACAAAAGTGTACAAGCCTTTCCCAAAGAACGGTACGAGGGCAATAAGAGTGCTCTGGCTCCATCCGAATATCATCAACATAAGGACTGTCCGTGATGTGATGATGTTGCTGTATTTCAGGGGCGTTGAAACTGCTACACATCGGTCCACACACACCATCACAAGGCTGTAGGCGGCGCCGTTCCGACCGACGTTGTAGAGGAAGCCTGACACTGTGCAGAAGGTGTTGGAGAAGGCCCAGGAGTGGTGTATCCGGGCGACGGCCGCCGACGGGATAGCAAACACTGCCACAAGAAGTTCGGCAACCGACAGCGACACCAGGAAGATGTTGGTGCAGGTGTGTAGGTATTTGGCTCGGCAGATGACGTAGATAAGGAGACTGTTGAGAATGACAGCCGTCACAGACAACGTGGACGCCAAGACGGCAAGGAGGATGTTGACGTCGTTGCTGATGTCCCTGTATGTGATGTTACCGACACTTGGCATCTCTGTCAACGCCGGCGGCTGCTGTTACTCCATCCACCAAGACTCCATCGACTCCCTGAAGCAGACCATACCATGTGCAACTTCTTGGCGCCTTCAGTCTGAAAGTGGAGGTCAAAGTAAAGTAAAGACAGTTTTTTTCTGAGACCACCAAGGAGTAGAGGACACATACATATGACTGTACATAGTTAGCGTGTCTGTCACCTGAACCTAAGACGGACGACATGAGTCATCGGGACATGCGCTATGTTTGGTCGGAGTCAGACCAGAGGTGTTTATGAAGACATATTTAGCTCAAGCATTGATGTCTCAACTCGTTTCTTGTTTTAACACCACGTTTCGGTGAAGATGCTTCTAATTTTGTCAAGCCTGTGCACTATGGAAGGACCTGTTGTCAGCAAGGTTATATACTCTTCGTCATTAAAAAGAGTGGAAAGGGCAAACGGGGTGGACTAAGATACCCAACAACGCACACGCGAACGCTGTCAGTAGTTTAGCACTGGAAAGAAAACGGTTCACTCCAGATGCAAATGATATTGGATTCCTGGAAGTAGAAATGCTTCGTTACTCTATCTAGTCTGTCTCGTGGTTACTGAGGCCGAGTATATACAGGTAAAACTATATTTGCAAAACAATACAACAACCAAGGGAGATAACTGATGACAGGAGATCAAACATAGGGACTTTACACAGTGGTTGATTGCAGTGTGGGGTTCTGTCCAGTATACTTGATGTTCTGTACAATGTTTCGATAAGCACGACCGAGCCTCTGGGTATATTCACACCCTGTCGTTTCTGAGTGACTCCTACATCAATTGTGTATTCTCTAGAGTCTGGTATTTTTTCAGTTTTCATTTTTGCTATGTTTTGTTGGTTTCTGTGTGTGTTGTTTTTGTACAAATCAAATTTTCGAACTAAATGGCCATGAGCCATTTTGAAAAGCAACAGTCTGTTTGAATGGAAAACCCAAGCATCCTAGATAAGACCAGGCCGGACCCCTGATTGATGTGGCCTCACATCGGTCACTGAGTTACTCTATTGCGCTCAGTTTGGAAAACCTAGTATCCTTTGAGCATATAGCTTTTGGACTACATGGCCTTGGTGCACTGTTGAATGTCACCTCGTTCGGGTGATCTAGACTAGTTCATATGTTGTGATCCATGTATAACTGCCGTCAGTTGTTTAACAATTTAAGACGTGTGTAACCGTAAATGATTACCCTCCTGACCGTGTCACCACATCAATAAGCCCAACATCCAGGACAAAGCCATTGTTTCTATCTACCCAGTAATGTCTGTAACTACATATATATGGTTCCATCTGTTAGGCTGCCGGGTACCCCAACGTTTTGCTTCAGTATCTACAGCGCTGAGTCGCTGGACTTATAATCGTAGCGTTGGAATATTCCCTTGACTTATTTTCTTGTAATTGTCATTTGTGTATGGTATATAACCAACAAAAGAAGTTTGGACTCAAAGTATTCTTCGTCGTAAATCAGACCTAGTTCCCCCGTCGACATGTGCGTTAACAGATTTTCAGGCAATGAGGCATCGTAAAGGATCCAAATTTAATTAGATATATGTCCTAACAAATCGGGGTATCTTAACAGAGTAAAGATCCGAATTTATCAAGCGAAGTGGTATCGTATTGGGGTAAAAGTCTGACTTCAAAGATATAGATCGTATCGACTATTAGATCGTGCGACCTCTGGCCTCAGTCAGCCCTCCTCCTCCAGCCTCTACCGCATCCCAGCCTGTGTAGCAGCAAGCAGTACCCCCAGGCAACAGCCCAAACACACACTGCTGTAATGTGCTTGATCAATACCTGCACCCCGGCCCTCCAACACAATTAGAAGTAAAAGCTTTCCCAGGTAGGTAGAAGTCTGCGGTTGAGCGGTCACCTTCACTCGCCCCGTCTGACTGCAATACTGATCGATTGTGTAGTCTGTCTTACAGCCCCCGAACTGCATGGATGTCCCCTCTAACAAACCCTTACACGAAGCAAGTCTAGATGTCCTCAGGTTCTGAATCTCTCGTCTCACTGTGGTCCCTTTTTAATTAAAAAGGAATTATTTGTTTCCATCAAAATTACATTTTTGAGAGACTAAACGTTAGCCTAATCACAAGTGTATCGGTCTTCTGACGGTGTGGGAGGTTTTAAGGGATATATTGCAGCACTACATCTAACAGCAGATGAGATTAACCTGGTTGTATGATGTCAACAGAAGCTTGAAGCATTTATACAACCAGTATTTGTAACCACAGGCTGTTTTCTTTATAAAAGTGTTAAAACATGCGATGCTATACCACGTCTGTTGTGTATAAGAAGTAAAATACGTCTATGATGAATATGTATTAAACCACGTCTGTTTGGGTATATGAAGTAAAATACGTCTATGATGAATATGTATTATACCACGTCTGTTTGTGTATATGAAGTAAAATACGTCTATGATGAATATGTATTATACCACGTCTAAAATACGTCTATGATGAATATGTATTATACCACGTCTGTTTTGTATATGAAGTAAAATACGTCTATGATGAATATGTATTATACCACGTCTGTTTGGGTATATGAAGTAAAATACGTCTATGATGAATATGTATTATACCACGTCTGTTAAGTTGTGTATAAGAAGTAAAATACGTCTATGATGAATATGTATTATACCACGTCTGTTTGTGTATATGAAGTAAAATACGTCTATGATGAATATGTATTATACCACGTCTGTTTGGGTATATGAAGTAAAATACGTCTATGATGAATATGTATTATACCACGTCTGTTGTGTATATGAAGTAAAATACGTTTATGATGAATATGTATTATACCACGTCTGTTTGGGTATATGAAATAAAATACGTCTATGATGAATATGTATTATACCACGTCTGTTGTGTATATGAAGTAAAATACGTCTATGATGAATATGTATTATACCACGTCTGTTTGGGTATATGAAATAAAATACGTCTATGATGAATATGTATTATACCACGTCTGTTGGGTATATGAAGTAAAATACGTCTATGATGAATATGTATTATACCACGTCTGTTGTGTATAAGAAGTAGAATACGTCTATGATGAATATGTATTATACCACGTCTGCTGTGTATAAGAAGTAGAATACGTCTATGATGAATATGTGTTATACCACGTCTGCTGTGTATAAGAAGAAGAATACGTCTATGATGAATATGTATTATACCACGTCTGTTGTGTATAAGAAGTAGAATACGTCTATGATGAATATGTATAATACCACGTCTGTTTGGGTATATGAAGTAAAATGCGTCTATGATGAATATGTATTATACCACGTCTGTTTGGGTATATGAAATAAAATACGTCTATGATGAATATGTATTATACCACGTCTGTTGTGTATATGAAGTAAAATACGTTTATGATGAATATGTATTATACCACGTCTGTTTGGGTATATGAAGTAAAATGCGTCTATGATGAATATGTATTATACCACGTCTGTTGGGTATATGAAGTAAAATACGTCTATGATGAATATGTATTATACCACGTCTGTTGTGTATAAGAAGTAGAATACGTCTATGATGAATATGTATTATACCACGTCTGTTGTGTATAAGAAGTAGAATACGTCTATGATGAATATGTGTTATACCACGTCTGTTGTGTATAAGAAGAAGAATACGTCTATGATGAATATGTATTATACCACGTCTGTTGTGTATAAGAAGTAGAATACGTCTATGATGAATATGTATAATACCACGTCTGTTTGGGTATATGAAGTAAAATGCGTCTATGATGAATATGTATTATACCACGTCTCTTTGGGTATATGAAGTAAAATACGTCTATGATGAATATGTGCTATACCACGTCTGTTGTGTATAAGAAGTAGAATACGTCTATGATGAATATGTATTATACCACGTCTGCTGTGTATAAGAAGTAGAATACGTCGATGATGAATATGTGTTAAACCACGTCTGTTGTGTATAAGAAGTAGAATACGTATATGATGAATATGTATTATACCACGTCTGTTGTGTATAAGAAGCAGAATACGTCTATGATGAATATGTATTATACCACGTCTGTTTGGGTATATGAAGTAGAATACGTCGATGATGAATATGTGTTATACCACGTCTGTTGTGTATAAGAAGTAGAATACGTCTATGATGAATATGTATTATACCACGTCTGTTGTGTATAAGAAGCAGAATACGTCTATGATGAATATGTATTATACCACGTCTGTTTGGGTATATGAAGTAAAATGCGTCTATGATGAATATGTATTATACCACGTCTGTTTGGGTATATGAAGTAAAATACGTCTATGGTGAATATGTGCTATACCACGTCTATTGTGTATAAGAAGTAAAATACGTCTATGATGAATATGTATTATACCACGTCTGTTGTGTATAAGAAGTAGAATACGTCTATGATGAATATGTATTATACCACGTCTGTTGTGTATAAGAAGTAAAATACGTCTATAATGAATATGTATTATACCACGTCTGTTGTGTATAAGAAGTAGAATACGTCTATGATGAATATGTATTATACCACGTCTGTTGTGTATAAGAAGTAAAATACGTCTATGATGAATATGTATTATACCACGTCTGTTGTGTATAAGAAGTAAAATACGTCTATGATGAATATGTATTATACCACGTCTGTTGTGTATAAGAAGTAGAATACGTCTATGATGAATATGTATTATACCACGTCTGTTGTGTATAAGAAGTAAAATACGTCTATGATGAATATGTATTATACCACGTCTGTTGTGTATAAGAAGTAAAATACGTCTATGATGAATATGTATTATACCACGTCTGCTGTGTATAAGAAGTAGAATACGTCTATGATGAATATGTATTATACCACGTCTGTTGTGTATAAGAAGTAGAATACGTCTATGATGAATATGTATTATACCACGTCTGTTTGGGTATATGAAGTAAAATACGTCTATGATGAATATGTATTATACCACGTCTGTTTGGGTATATGAAGTAGAATACGTCTATGATGAATATGTATTATACCACGTCTGTTGTGTATAAGAAGTAGAATACGTCTATGATGAATATGTGTTATACCACGTCTGTTTGGGCATAAGAAATAAAATACGCCTATGATGAATATGTGTTATACCACGTCTGTTTGGGTATAAGAAGTAAAATACGTCCATGATGAATATGTGTTATACCACGTCTGTTTGGGTATATGAAGTAAAATACGTCTATGGTGAATATGTCCTCGCCACGTCTGTTGGGTATATGAACTAAAATACGTCTATGGTGAATATGTGCTATACAACGTTTGTTGTGTAAATGAAGTAAAATACGTCTATGGTGAATATGTGCTATACCAGTGTAAACTATGTTTATGCCGAATGGAAAGACTTCCGCCCGTGCCCCCACTGAAATTTAAATCATATTACCTGAATGTATGTGCATCTTTTTCCTCATCGTTACATTTTGGGGAGACACGGGCGGAAGTCTTGCCAACGCGCCCGTTGCGTATATGAAGTAAAACGCGTCTGTTGTGTATATTAAGTAAAACACGTTTATGTGTTATACCATCCATGTTGTGTATATGAAGTAAAACGCGTCTGTTGTGTATATGAAGTAAAACACCTTTATGTGTTATACCATCCATGTTGTGTATATGAAGTAAAACGCGTCTGTTATGTATATAAAGTAAAACACCTTTATGTGTTATACCATCCATGTTGTGTATATGAATTAAAACACGTTTATGATGCGTGTTATACCACCCATGCTGTGTATATGAAGTAAAACGCGTCTCTTGTGTATATGAAGTTATGTGTGTTATACCACTCATGCTGTGTATATGATGTAAAACGCGTCTGTTGTGTATATGAAGTAAAACACGTTATGGTGTTATACCACCCATGTTGTGTATATGAAGTAAAACGCGTCTGTTGTGTAATGAAGTTATGTGTGCTATACCACCCATGCTGTGTATATGAACTAAAACGCGTCTGTTGTGTATATGAAGTAAAACACCTTTATGTGTTATACCACCCATGCTGTGTATATGAAGTAAAACGCATATGTTGTGTATATGAAGTAAAACACCTTTATGTGTCATACCATTATGTTGTGTATATGAAGTAAAACACGTTTATGTGTTATACCATCCATGTTGTGTATATGAAGTAAAACACGTCTTTTGTGTATATGAAGTAAAACACCTTTATGTGTTATACCATCCATGTTGTGTATATGAAGTAAAACGCGTCTGTTGTGTATATGAAGTAAAACACGTTTATGTGTTATGCCATCCATGTTGTGTATATGATGTAAAACGCGTCTGTTGTGTATATGAAGTAAAACACCTTTATGTGTTATACCATCCATGTTGTGTATATGATGTAAAACGCGTCTGTTGTGTATATGAAGGAAAACACCTTTATGTGTTATACCATCCATGTTGTGTATATGAATTAAAACACGTTTATGATGCGTGTTATACCACCCATGCTGTGTATATGAAGTAAAACGCGTCTCTTGTGTATATGAAGTTATGTGTGTTATACCACTCATGCTGTGTATATGATGTAAAACGCGTCTGTTGTGTATATGAAGTAAACCACCTTTATGTGTTATACCATCCATGTTGTGTATATGAAGTAAAACGCGTCTGTTGTGTATATGAAGTAAAACACGTCTTTTGTGTATATGAAGTAAAACACCTTTATGTGTTATACCATCCATGTTGTGTATATGAAGTAAAACGCGTCTGTTGTGTATATGAAGTAAAACACGTTTATGTGTTATGCCATCCATGTTGTGTATATGATGTAAAACGCGTCTGTTGTGTATATGAAGTAAACACCTTTATGTGTTATACCATCCATGTTGTGTATATGAAGTAAAACGCGTCTGTTGTGTATATGAAGTAAAACACCTTTATGTGTTATACCATCCATGTTGTGTATATGAATTAAAACACGTTTATGATGCGTGTTATACCACCCATGCTGTGTATATGAAGTAAAACGCGTCTCTTGTGTATATGAAGTTATGTGTGTTATACCACTCATGCTGTGTATATGATGTAAAACGCGTCTGTTGTGTATATGAAGTAAAACACGTTTATGTGTTATACCACCCATGCTGTATATATGAAGTAAAACGCGTCTGTTGTGTATATGAAGTTATATGTGTTATACCACCTATGCTGTGTATATGAAGTAAAACGCGTCTGTTATGAATATGAAGTAAAACACGTTTATGATGTGTGTTATACCACCCATGCTTTGTATATGAAGTAAAACACGTCTATGATGTGTTATACCACGCCTATTTTGTGTAAAAACACCTATGCACCTATGCGGTGAATACGTGTTACACGGTTTCGGAAAACCAGCCTGTCGTGCTCTTCCGTATACTGTTTAATTAAGTCTGTACATGTGAGGTATCTATCTGCTGTATCTCTTCTGCTATGTACATATGTTACTTATCACAGTCACCAAAGAGCAGCACTACCTACAGCTGCCGATTAGGGAAAGTGAAACTAATTAACGAAAATGGCCATCGATATATTTATATTTGATTGGCTTGTGTTCCGTGAAAACAAAAGTACACATATCACCTTAAAGGTGCAGTATGTGTCAGGAAGCTTCACACCGCCCACATGACCCATGTAATACCAAAGCCGTATTCGCGAACAATACATATTTGAGCATATGCCACACACATTTATCAATGCACATTGACGTGAGTTCAAGTAATCACCTCAAGTATATCAACGTTTCAGTGGATACCAAATGTGATGAAGAACTCACCTGCGGGAGCTACTGGGGTCTCGGAAGACGTCCCTGTCACTCATCCCTAGCTGCACGGCTGCTGGAGTCGGGGATATTCGCCCAGCACGTTAGTTGTGTGAGTGGATCCGGTATAGGCCATGGTGAAATGCCAGTTGGGATCGACCAGTTCCCTGATGAAAAGTTGGAGCCTTCATCTGCCTTCCCGACACAACAGCGGCTATTGATCAGAGCATAACAACAAGCCTCTCTCCACATGCCACGCGTGTGAATTAACAAAGTTTACGCGTTGCTAGGTAACCCACCTGTATGAGTTAACGAAGTGTTGGCGCGAGTCAAACTGTCAATCATCTCACCTGGCGGAAGCCGGTCACATACATGGAGTGGTTTGGGCGTTTGGGCTAGTTGGACACACACGAAAGGCGTCATCTGCGTTCTGGCGCCATTTGGCACCACACTTTAAGTGTCAGAACACACAAGTGAAGCGATATCTTGGTAGGGGTTGAACACACGCGTCAAGCGTTAATTTCATCTTGGTGGGTGGTGAACACACACGTGAAGCGTTAACTGCATCTTGGTGGGTGGTGAACACACACGTGAAGCGTTAACTGCATCTTGGTAGGGGTTGAACACACGTGAAGCGTTAACTGCATCTTGGTAGGGGTTGAACAGAAACGTGAAGAGTTAACTGCATCTTGGTGGGGGGTTGAACAGACACGTGAAGCGTTAACTGCATCTTGGTAGGGGTTGAACAGACACGTGAAGCGTTAACTGCATCTTGGTAGGGGTTGAACAGAAACGTGAAGCGTTAACTGCATCTTGGTATGGGTTGAACTGACATGTGAAGGGTTAACTGCATCTTGGTAGGGGTTGAACAGAAACGTGAAGAGTTAACTGCATCTTTGTAGGGGTTGAACACACACGTGAAGCGTTAACTGCATCTTGGTAGGGGTTGAACAGACAAGTGGAGCGTCAATTGCATCTTGGTGGGGGTTGAACAGACAAGTGAAGCGTTAATTGCATCTTGGTAGGGGTTGAACACACACGTGAAGCGTTAACTGCATCTTGGATGGGGTTGAACACGTGAAGGGTTAACACGTGAAGGGTTAACTGCATCTTTGTTGATGGGGTTGAACAGACAGGTGAAGCGTTAACTGCATCTTGGTGGGGTTGAGCAGACACGTGAAGCGTTAATTGCATCTTGGTAGGGGTTGAACACAAACGTGAAGCGTTAACTGCATCTTGATGGGGGTTGAACAGACAAGTGAAGGGTTAACTGCATCTTGGTAGGGATTGAACAAACACTTGAAGAGTTAACTGCATCTTGATGGGGGTTGAACAGACACGTGAAGAGTTAACTGCATCTTGGTAGGGGTTGAACACACACGTGAAGCGTTAACTGCATCTTGATGGGGATTGAACAGACACGTGAAGGGTTAACTGCATCTTGGTAGGGGTTGAACAGACACGTAAAGAGTTAACTGCATCTTGATGGGGGTTGAACAGACAAGTGAAGGGTTAACTGCATCTTGGTAGGGGTTGAACAAATACGTGAAGAGTTAACTGCATCTTGATGGGGGTTGAACAGACACGTGAAGGGTTAACTGCATCTTGGTAGGGGTTGAACACACACGTGAAGCGTTAACTGCATCTTGATGGGGGTTGAACAGACACGTGAAGGGTTAACTGCATCTTGGTAGGGGTTGAACAAACACGTGAAGCGTTAACTGCATCTTGATGGGGGTTGAACAGACACGTGAAGGGTTAACTGCATCTTGGTAGGGGTTGAACAGACACATGAAGGGTTAACTGCATCTTGGTAGGGGTTGAACAGACACGTGAAGAGTTAATTGCATCTTGGTGGGGGTTGAACAGACACGTGAAGCGTTAACTGCATCTTGATGGGGGTTGAACAGACACGTGAAGGGTTAACTGCATCTTAGGGAGTTGGTAGGGGTTGAACACACACGTGAAGCGTTAACTGCATCTTGATGGGGGTTGAACAGACACGTGAAGCGTTAACTGCATCTTGGTAGGGTTGAACAAACACGTGTGAAGCGTTAACTGCATCTTGATGGGGGTTGAACAGACACGTGAAGGGTTAACTGCATCTTGGTAGGGGTTGAACAGACACGTGAAGCGTTAACTGCATCTTGGTGGGGGTTGAACAGACACGTGAAGAGTTAACTGCATCTTGGTAGGGGTTGAACAGACACGTGAAGCGTTAACTGCATCTTGGTAGGGTTGAACAGACACGTGAAGGGTTAACTGCATCTTGGTGGGGTTGAACACACACGTGAAGCGTTAACTGCATCTTGGTAGGGGTTGAACAGACACGTGAAGCGTTAACTGCATCTTGGTAGGGGTTGAACACACACGTGAAGAGTTAACTGCATCTTGGTGGGGGTTGAACAGACACGTGAAGCGTTAACTGCATCTTGGTAGGGTTGAACACACACGTGAAGCGTTAACTGCATCTTGATGGGGGTTGAACAGACACGTGAAGGGTTAACTGCATCTTGGTAGGGGTTGAACACACACGTGAAGCGTTAACTGCATCTTGGTAGGGGTTGAACAGACACGTGAAGCGTTAATTGCATCTTGGTAGGGGTTGAACACACACGTGAAGCGTTAACTGCATCTTGATGGGGGTTGAACAGACACGTGAAGGGTTAACTGCATCTTGGTAGGGGTTGAACAAACACGTGAAGCGTTAACTGCATCTTGATGGGGGTTGAACACACACGTGAAGCGTTAACTGCATCTTGGTAGGGGTTGAACACACACGTGAAGAGTTAACTGCATCTTGGTGGGGGTTGAACACACACGTGAAGCGTTAACTGCATCTTGGTAGGGGTTGAACACACAAGTGAAGCGTTAATTGCATCTTGGTGGGGGTTGAACAAACACTTGAAGAGTTAACTGCATCTTGGTGGGGGTTGAACAGACAAGTGGAGCGTTAATTGCATCTTGGTGGGGGTTGAACAAACACGTGAAGAGTTAACTGCATCTTGGTAGGGGTTGAACAGACACATGAAGAGTTAATTGCATCTTGGTGGGGGTTGAACACACACTTGAAGCGTTAACTGCATCTTGGTAGGGGTTGAACAGACACGTGATGCGTTAACTGCATCTTGGTAGGGATTGAACAGACACGTGAAGCGTTAACTGCTTCTTGGTGGGGGTTGAACACACAAGTGAAGCGTTAATTGCATCTTGGTGGGGGTTGAACAAACACTTGAAGAGTTAACTGCATCTTGGTGGGGGTTGAACAGACAAGTGGAGCGTTAATTGCATCTTGGTGGGGGTTGAACAAACACGTGAAGAGTTAACTGCATCTTGGTAGGGGCTGAACAGACACGTGAAGAGTTAATTGCATCTTGGTGGGGGTTGAACACACACTTGAAGCGTTAACTGCATCTTGGTAGGGATTGAACAGACACATGAAGGGTTAACTGCATCTTGGTAGGGGTTGAACACACTCGTGAAGCGTTAACTGCATCTTGGTAGGGGTTGAACACACACGTGAAGCGTTAACTGCATCTTGGTAGGGGTTGAACAGACACGTGAAGCGTTAACTGCATCTTGGTAGGGGTTGAAGAAACGCTTGAAGAGTTAACTGCATCTTGGTGGGGGTTGAACAGACAAGTGAAGCGTTAATTGCATTTTGGTGGGGGTTGAACAAACACGTGAAGAGTTAACTGCATCTTGGTAGGAGTTGAAGGACAAAGTTCAATCTGTACCTGTCTTCCCACCCCACAGAATCACTACTACAACCGTGGGTAACACTGCTGGACCCCACTCAAAGGCAGCAGGGGTGCGCTGGTGGGCATGAGAACTTGTGTTCTACTCGTACACATGAGGAACAAACATGCAGTGACTCTCCTTCAGATTGTAAATATGCTACAGACCAAGTCTGTAGTAATGTTCATAGTTTGTGTGGTAAAGCAAACAGTATTACAAACATCAAGGCTACCCACCAACCTCCTAGAAAGGAACAACCATGTAACACTGTAAACTATATGTAACATATTGCGATTACAAGTAGTACTGGTATTATAGTACCTGTTAATGCTGAAAAAATAAAAACCAGAAATGCTTGGAAAATGCCTTTTGGCAATTATTTGATAATAGTTGATATTTCAGATTCAAAACTCACATATAATCATTCATACCACCTCGACCTAATTATGGCATATGAGTAATGACGATGTACCATTCCCTAATCATAGTGAGTACTCGTAAAATATCGAAAAACGTAGAAAAAATTCCATGGTAGAAACACGTCTAAGAAACAAACTATACTGTGACCCACCTGGCAGGCAGACAGGGTGACAGCGTTATGTAATGCACGGGCAGCGCATGTCAGGGACCGTCTCAAAATATCAAGTGGCAGTATCACTGCTGGTCGAGGACTCTAGCTGAATTACAACAGGTGCAACTCGGCTGACGTTAACGCCGCCCCGCAGACAGTATTCGTCTTCGATTTTGAGAACACGGTCTTCAGCCTTTTGCCACACTTCTGAGGTAATTCTCGCAAAAGCAGCATACACAAAATGATAACTGCGGTAAAATCTGATGTTCGAACCAATCCAAAAATACGCGCCCATTCATTTCGCTGTGGTAATCACCATCAGATTTCTTGGTCTCAAAAACAAAGTCACAGCCGCCAATTAGTCCCTTGCTACGGGTACCAGCATGCAAGATGATCAGGCGTCTACCTTTGCCTGATGGTAACACTGGTGCCTTAGAACAATCTGAAGGAAGCCACATCCGATCGGTTGAGTGATTTTTATTACACCAGGTTTCATCAAGGTATAAAATATGAAACCCCAAATTGCGGTATTCTTCCAGTGTTTTTAGATAAGCTGATCGCATGGACAGGATTGAGTAGTTTTCTCTAAACACAGCTCTGTCATCTCCCCTTTTGGTGAACCTGAACCCCATTTCTACCAGAGCTACAATAAGTGTTGTTATCGAAACATTTATTGTATCTTTGATCTCGTCTTGTATTTTAGCACACGTCGGTGGGATTTTGCGTTCATACAGTTTATAAACTGCACGGTGTATGACATCCTTATCAAAGCTATCCAGTTTGTGTTTCCTACCTGGTTGTGATTTTGACACGACCCCTGAGGTAACTGATTTGTTTACAACTTTGTACACCTGACTATATGTCAAATTAAGGGCTTCACACATTCTATAGTAAACCCTGTCATAGTTGACGAGAGGTTCCCC